TTCTGTTATAATAGGTCATATTGACCATTGGTTAATTATTAGACTTGCAACGAATAGTATATTCGGCAGTATACCGAATACCGAATATTCGGCGAGGCACCTGACCGAATAGCCGAATATTAGGCAAAAGTATTCGGCTGGATTTTAGCGCCAAAAACTTGTACAGACGTGAATTAAATTATGTACCTGTTTTATGTACCAATGACTACTTAATAAATGATTATAAAAGAAATGAGAACCTTACCCTTCTAAATTTTGATTACCACAATAATTCAAATACATAGAATCCTCCGTTTTTCCTATTCAGAAGATGATTATGTACCTGTGTTATGCACCAATGACTACTTAAATGATTATAACAGAAATGAAAATATGAATATATACGTAATCAATCGATTTTAATTTTTCATTTTTCCAATTATTTCTCAATGACAAAATATATTATTTAAGTATTCGGTATTCGGCCGAATAATATGTAGATATTCGGTATTCGGCCGAATATAATAAAAGCAGCCGAATAGGCCGAATACCGAATAGTAACCGAATATTCGTTGCAAGTCTATTAATTATTTAATTACTTAATATGTATATTTAAATTTCATTTGAACCATGCTTATATGGACCTCTCTTTACAATGGAGGTTTTGGCCTACTATTGGAGTAGGCCAAAACCTCCATTGTAAAGAGAGGCCCATGTTTAGCTTCTTTTAGTTGGACATGATGACCTATGCCAACGAAGAATCTATACTAATAGTATAAAGCTGAAGAGTTTGTTTGTTTGTTTGTTTGTTTGAGCGCGCTAATCTCTGGAACTACTGGTCCGATTTGAAAAATTCTTTTAGTGTTAGATAGCCCATTTATCGAGGAAGGCTATAGGCTATATATCATCACGCTAAGACTAATAGGAGCGGAGCACCAGTGATGAATGTTTCAAAAACGGAGAAATTTTTTTACTATTGAGAGACGCAGACGCGGGTCAGCTAGTATGTTTATATTTTGATTTCGTACGGCATTATAAAACAATGTATCAACTACATAAAAACAGCAAAAAAAAAAACATAAAATAAAGGATAGAAGTAATAAAAAAATTAAGTAAAATGCCGGCAATTTTATAAAAAATCTAAAATCTTGAAAATGGTTTGGGAGATGGTATTTCATAGTGACATCAAAAATGATGGCAGCTACAATCCCTTAAAGTATTTAGGTCGACTTACCCAGTAACCCTGTATACCGGCTTAACCGGAGTAATCCCATAGCTCCACAGACAGACAGGTGTTAAGTAATTTAGTTCCTTTTTTGGAACGAGTGAGGATACAGGCGCTCCAACCCTCACTCGCCTTTAATTCTCAAGGGTGCACACTATCGCCTGCAACGTACTTGTCTCTTGAAGACGATGGGCGCCAGTAGTCACTTACCATCAGATGTCTCGTCTGCTCGTTTATCCTATATATCATGAAATAAAACGGCGTGAGGGGTCTACGGACCCCCGGTTGGAACGAAATTCCTTTCGCTTTTTGGTAGACGTTTGCTATATATATGAAATATAAAAAAGAAGTGAGCGTCGACGCGCTAACTGAAGTGTCAGAAAAAAGTCTTGTTACACATTTTTCGGCCTCACTCCCATTCGCGCAGAGCGTGTAACGTGCGATAACAGACACATAAATAATAGGTCTTTACCTATGAAAAATTTAGACAACTTTTTAGTGGGTAAAAAATTCAATTCCCGAGAGGCAGTACAAAATGCCTTTGAAGAGTTTGTTGCCTCCCGTCCATCTGATTTTTACAAGAAGGGCATCAATAAAGTGCCAATGCGTTGGCAAAGATGCGTCGATTGCATGGGTGATTACTTCGAATAACAGAAATAAAAAAGTTTGAAAAGTAAGTACTTTCACTTATTGCATACAAAACGGCAATTTCATAGGTAAAGACCTAATAAATGGTAAATGATATTTATTTCTGTAAGTTAATCTTTTGAGATATTTTTTCAAGTCGGAAAGTCTTAATACGTTAGAGGTATTTTTTTACGCCTTTCTAAACAAATTCAGTGCACTTAAAAATCTCTTAATTACTTTTGGAACGAAGGTCCTAATGACACTTTAGTAAACGTCTACTTAAAAATAAACTACTCATGCCGTTTTTTATGTTTGTATGTATACAGTTACTAACTATTGCCTGCGGCTCTACTAACTTTGAACGTGACGAACTTCCATACGACAGTTCATCGCTTATTTTTCCTCCTTAGGGGTAAAATTTTTAAATATCCTTTCTCTTACAACATAAAAAACATCAGCAAGTTTGTAAACCCCGCGGTTGAGGCTCTGAGTTAATGAATTAGTAGTAGTATAATTTTATATGTATAGAAAAGTTTAAATATTACGTCGTAATATTTACTACAGCTATAAATAGCCAGTAGGGATGGAATAAAATCACAATCACTTGTAATAAATGATATGATTTACAAATCATTTCATCAGACCTGCGACTGATTTACAAAACCACTAAGACTTAATTATTTTATTATTACGCTGGCGCTAACTTCGCGAAAGGTCTAAATCTAAAAAAGATTAATTTAATTGTCATTTATCTATGTCTTTAACGAAATCACAATTAACTGTAAAGTAACTGTGCCTAAAACCAATCATTTTATCACATGAATATGATTTAAAAGTAGCAATCATTACCGTTTCTAATAGCCAGTATACTTGTAAATGTTGACCTGTCTAAAAGTCTATATTTACCGGTCCATGATCTAAAACATCATCAAAGGCTAGTAAATTACAAAGAAATACCAATATTACATAACTTACTACGCCATAATGTTTTACTATTTACTAATGATTAGTTTTCGGTAATTTGAGTAATGGAGATTTTATCGAAAAGACCTTGACACGACTAGGCCCCTAAATTCTTCAATGTTTAGAGACAGGCTAACTATACACATATCGATTGTTTGAAATCAAATAAATCTCGATTTGTTATCGATATATTAAAGTTACTATGGGAGCGATTTCTTATTGGTATTTCCCGGAAATTTGCCCATTACAGTTTATAGACTTATATTTAATGTGGAAGTTTTAATATATTATGTGGCGAAATGTGGATGTGTTTTACACCTCTGTCAATCCTTTTGGGGATCTGTCAGCGTGATTTTTTAATCAGGTACTGAAATATTAGGTAAATACTGCGTGCTAATAAGCGGTTACCAGCGCAAACAACAACCATTAGTCACGACATTTTGGTGTTACCCTGCTGCTAACCTTATCAAAAATTTCACCAAAGTTTGACGCCTAATTTTCTTTAAAGGTAACCAAAAACACCATATGTAAGCCATATACTTTTTTTTATTCAAACCAATATAATACGACTGCACGGATGGCGTAGTGGTTTAAGCGGTCGCCACGACACTTACTACTACGCTGAGTGTTGTGGGTCCGATCCCCACATGGGACGACACTTTGTGTTGTCACACACCACAAATTGTTGTTCTGAGTCTGTGTGTTCTTTTTGCCGTTTCATGTATGTTTGTAAAGTCCTCCGCGACACAGGATATATTCCTAATGCGGAAGTTGTTAAAAGTTAAGTTATAGACCTTACTACAAGTCAGATCTGAACATTTTTTTATCATTGGATGCCTAAATTCTTGAGATTATAAATTGGTTAACATTACAACATTGCACTACAACGCTCATGTGCACAATAGTGAATACAAACTCGATTTCAATAATTATAATTTATTTAATACATCGCAACTGACCAACATCGTCTACTTTTAAACCAAAATTGTCTACTTTTAAATACACCATATGAAATTGCTTAATTCCTTCTGCAGCGACATACCTAGCGATTGTGTATGTAAATACTTTGTAATTAGTATATTTACGACTTTAATTTATTTCCAATATTGAGAGTTTTTTAATGGTTTGAAACAGATAATGCCAAGACCAACGGGCTAGGTAAAGCAGGCGACTCAGGCGCCAGTCGCAGAACGACCTCCGTCCTCCATAAGCGCAGGCCTGGGGGTGACAGGTGAGGCCATTTGTCACCCTAGCAGAAGCAGGCCGGGGTGGCGGCTAGCGCATTGCGAAGCGCGCTCGCTTCCAGGGAGCAGAGGGAACATGGGGTTCCCACACGGGGGGGTCGTCTACCTGTTGTTGTAGATGGCCCGAGGTATGTCGGGGCACCAGGGACTTCCTTTCTAGGGTATACCTGGTTCCCCGGCTATTAGTACTCGAGACGGCGTGCGGTTTTAGTCGGTTCGTGTCCGACATGCCACCGATAGGTGGTATCCATGGGGATTTCCGCACGGAAAAAAAAGGCTATTTAAGTTGTTGAACTTGAGTTGTGCTAGACAGAGATGCTCGGACTGCCCGGCAATAGCTAACTCGAGTTACATATACGAGTATATGATCCTAACTGCCAGAACTGTTGCCGGTGTTGTTGCTTGCTCCAATCCAACCGTATCAACAATATCACTTTCCTACCACGGTCTTTCCTTCATATCTACCGTTTCTTTTAATAAATTCTCAATTTTTCCATCTAATCGGTAAAGTTCAAGCTGGGGGCTAGCCAGTTGTCCTCAGCCGGAAACTATACCGGGATTACGTGAATAAGACAAAAATTGTAGTTGGCAGAACCTGTTTGGTTTCAATACGTCACTCTAATGCGTCATTCTAATCTATCTCAGCGATCTTTTTGAAGTTATCAGTCATCAGTCTGTCTGGCTGGAGCCTTTTTATTACCGTGGTACTTTAAAATAACATATCGAAAAACTCATTACGTAAAGTTAAAACAAAGCAAAACTTTTAGCCGGCATGGAATAATGAATAAAACAATGACGTTGTACCTACATTGTAAACACTCTTTTAGGTACATATACTTTTTACTTACTTACTTTTACGTTCGAGGGGGCAGACGAGCAGACGGGTCACCAATTTTTAATTTTCACATGCATATTCGATGCCTTAAAAATCAAGGTAAAATACAATATCAGAAAAAAGTTTCTTAATCCAACTTACCGAAGCCTATTTCATGACGGACTGTGTCAGCGTTCACGATAACTGGTGTTTCTTTGTACATGCTGACATCTACCGGATCTTTAGATTCTTCATCTCTTTTCTCCACATCTTCCTTAAAATATTTTTCAAAATTGTTTTTGGTGAAAAAATCGAAATCTATAACTGCTCGTTTCATAGTCGGTGTGGCACTGGTTGCTTCCCTCTCGAATTGTAACATTTTAGCTGGTGACATGACTTCTTGGACAGGAGACGGTTTAACAAAAATATCGTCCTCAGATTTCTTTGTCAGAGATAACTGCAGTAGCGTTGCTGGTCTGCGCGGTTCTGGTGTATTTACCGGCAACTTAGGTGTAGTGACTATTGAAGGCGAATGATGATTCGTGAAATCAGGCGGTGGCGTTTCAACATCTGGTGTAGTTAATTCTACTGTGGGTGTATAAGGATTACAAGTTACGGGTGTATTCCCGTCTAAGGATACCTCTCTGCCTATTGTTACATTCTCCCCAATCACAGAGAAGTCATCTAAATTCATACGGAATGTATCATCAGGAAGCTCCAAGTCCGAATTAAATTGGTTTGAACTTGAGCATGTAGAGACGTTGCGGACAGGCTCAGGGTTTTTGTTTTCAATTAAAGGTGACTCCATATTTATAGTTTAAAACATGTTAGAATTCTTATCATGAAAATTATTGTTATCCATACAACAAAACTTAAATCATACGTTAGTCTCAACAATGTCCTTGAATTTATCTTTCTAATCGATAAGCGAATAATAAGAATTTTACATTCACATCACTCAATCATACACACACATGCGCGTGAGGATCGTCTTTGTTTGTGTGCATACGTGAGCTGTCAAACTAGTTTCGCGGTAACGTTTTCCTCAATCAGTTCAATGTAAAGTCTCAAATAAAGTGAAAAAAAAAGATTTTTACAGCAATTGCTTCTAATGGAAAGCTTATATAAAATTACTACTTTCTGTAAGCAGGATAGTCTTGTTTCATCGCGCCATAGGTCCGGCTATAAATAGATTGGTAATCTCACTCGCGCACTGATTTTTGCCCGCCTTTTTGTTTCATTTGCATTCACAGTAATAATTGTAAATTTTGTCCTATATTGTCTATTACTTCACTATATTTCTTTTAGAGTTTATGTTTTATGTTTGGGTAGAGTATAAAATGTTTATTTCTCGCTCTAAATGTTAGATACGGCACGATAGTGCGTTCCACAACACGACTAGGTACATGATGTAGAAATGTCAACAAACAAGAGGTTCCGGCAAACTGTTATATCCATTGCGCGGACAGCAGACTTGAGAATGAATATTTTTACAATACGGTCTTATTGCCGACGGAAACTTTTTAAAGACATTATTTTCATAATTGGTTTACACTTTGGATTATTCATATTGAATTCCAATTAGAAAAAGTAGTGTTATTAAAATAAGACATTTATTTTTTATCTGTTGAACTTCAAGGCGCGCATTGTAAACATTAGCGCTGTCAAACAAATTGTTTTGTTTCATTTGACTTAATTGATAAGAAGAAGAAGAAGATAAAGATACGTATGGATATTGTTGTTTGTGAGGTTTTGCGTTTGAGGAATCTAATGTTAAGGTCAATTCAATAATTAGAAAGATGTAGGAAAATGGATGTGGTTTTCTTTACTGAATTTTATAGAAATGAAAAGGGACAACTCCTTTAGACAACTTAACAAACATTCTCGCTTAGAACAGTAAATTAATAATTGAAGCACGACATCGTAGAGATCACATTACCTACTAAATTCCATGCAATTGTAATGTCTATCTTTCTTTATTTATCTCTGTTCATAATCATTTGCGGATATTTAGCTTAAATATTTTATAGGACGATTTTCTATATTTTAACTTTTTAAGTTAAGTTGCCTAAGCACTATTATAATACTTACATATCGAATCTTTTATATAATTATGTAATAAGTATAATTTTTCTACTGCGACGTAGTCATGTCGGATTTGAAACTGTTTGTAACACTGTGTATCTTCACACAGTGTTTCTAACCAGTTCAGTTTTCAATTAAACAATACTAAATAGACACATTGTTGAGGATGATGACGACTGGAGGATTAAAATCAAGATATTCGGACCCAACGTCAGATTAGTGCTGTGTGAAGGTCAAAAAAGCTATCTCCCACCAGCTCCAGGTTATTGTTAACCGCTACCTTTGGCGAATCCTTGGGATATACTAGCCCGAGGTCTCCAATGAAAAACTGTTGGCACGTAGCCACGAATCTGCTGGATTGGCCACACTCTACGTGGGGACTCCGATCATATCGCCAAACGAGCGGTATATTGGAACCCGCAAGGAAAACGTAAGCGTGGCCGCCCAAAGTAAATCTGGCGACGCACTGTCGCAGATGAGGTGAAGAGAATCGGCAGGACGTGGAGTGAGGTAATGTGCGAAGCTCAAGACCGAACGCGAAGAAGAATTACGGTGGACGCCCTCTACCTCGTCACGGGAACATAGGACATTAAATCAGTAGTAAAAAAAAACGGTGAACATCCGATGATTTCTGTAAATACTTTTATATGCTGACATAATTCACTACCTATGGGATTTAGATTTAACGATCTTGACAATGGTATAGAAAATAGACTTCTAAATAATAACGTGATAATTATTAAGTATTTTGGTATTATTAAGTTTCTTTTTTCGTATTTATTGGTATTGGTACTGGAAGATATGGATGAAGTGTATGAATTTAAAATAAATAAATAAAATAAGTTAACACTGGTTTTAATACCGAGTTTTTCTCGCTGTTCAATTCCGGTCTCAAAAATATGCAGTCTTATTTGGTAAATAAACTTGACCCTTGAGATGACCTTCAAAGTTGTTATGAAGGTTAATTTCAAGGTCACCAATGGATAGCCTGGGAAAAATTCTGTAGGTTTGTGTTTAACGTATTTCGAAAAATGCATCCATAGCAAATTATTCTGCTGTTGCGGTACTTTTCTAACATCTGTATGTAGGAATTTAGTATGTTTGGTTTTTTGGTTACTTTTAATGGACAATAATTTGCGTCTGTGGATCTTAGCTAGACATTATATGACGTATTTACATTTAACACTCTTAGGTTAGTTATAACCAAAATTTGCAACAATTTAATATTCTACTAGGAAAAATGTCTACGGCCCTACAAGTTTGACTTCAAAAGAACCGCTTTAAACCTTTGAACGGTTCCTAACGGTTTTTGCCGCTAATTAGATAAGATGGCGTCATTGCGTTTTTTTTTGTAAAGAATATGACACAGGGAACTTTACAAACATACACGAAACGGACGCAAAGAACACCCAGACTCAGGACAACAATTTGTGTAAACGAAACTCACTCCCGAGTCAGTAAGTTTTCGACCCTTTTAAATTCTCTTATTGCGTTACCCTTTCTACCTCGCATATTTTGCAATACACATTGAAAACAATATTTTGCATTTGAGATCTAAGTGGATTGAAAAACATTTTTTTTGAACCTGAAACAAAACTTAGCAGCGATTGACAAAATCTCCTAATTTGACATGAGGTTATGTTTAGACATGTAAATCACTGTTTTTTCGTGCCATGAGATTCGGGTAGATACATACTTGTAGTTATAGAAATTAAAACAATGGTTATTATCTGATTTTTATTAACAAGTAAATCATTTCATTTTCTTCTTTTTACTGCCTCCGCCATCCATGTTCCCGCCTTTTCGTTTCCCACCTTTTTTGGCAGCCATCTTGTTAAATCCGCCCTTGTCAGATTTATTAAAACCTTTTTTGTCAGACTTGCTAAAGTTTCCCTTGTCTGATTTTCCGAAATTGCCTTTTTTATTTTTGTTGAATTTTTTATTACTCTTATTGCCAAGTATTTTTTTATTGTATCCCTTTATCCATCTGTCCCGTTTTTCTTCCCAAGCTAGTTGCTTTGTGCTTGAGTTGTCTGTGTTGGCGACCGCTTGGCTGGACCCCTGCTTTTTATTAGTTGCTGTATCTTCTAGCAGAGTAGAGAACTCTTCAGCTGAGGCGAAGAGCGAGCCGAGGTCATCAGAGCCTGTTGAGGACATTAATGAAAGGATGATTTTTTCCGACAATTAAATTTCAGACTTTTTTCCGACTATTAAATTTAAGACGTTTTTGGAGACCATTTTTTTTAATCTCACCAAGTAAGTGGGAAACATTGAGATATGAGCATAGAGAAAACACGGGGTACAGTTGTTTGTAAGTGGAAGCGATATAGGCAACGAACGAGATGGATGCCCTGATGCTATCCTAGTGTGCTGTATGTTGCTTTGTTTTTAAAAACAATACAATTACGGGCGAAAACACATTCTTAGTTATAATTATAACTTAAATTTTAGCTACTAATACTTTTAATTGGAACTTTAACATACATAAACAGCCTTTGATAGTCCACTGATTAAAACAGGCATCTCCTTAAAAGGAGGTTTTGGCCTACAATACCATGCTGGCCAGACGGGTTGGTATAGAGTTTGTTTCAAGTTTTCCTTCTCTTTGCAGTGCTGGTTGTCCTGTGTAGTTTGCTGTTAGTGGCTTTTTTGAAATTCACTAACTTATATTTATAAATATGTGCATATATATATAAATGAAGCTCTTATGACTATTCATTAAATTTAAATAATATTCGAGTATACGTCAATTTATTGTCTATGGTGACAGCACTTTGCACTATGTTGATTCTATAATGAGAAAAAATCTCTCTGGCTTTGTAAAAGAACAAGTGAACGAGGTTATTCAAGATAAACATTTTATTCCATTTTAGATTGTTAAAATATTATTTGAAGCAAGCTTTTAATGTTGTTTCTCTTTACAGGTTAGTAAATGATTATAATTTGTTTTTAATTGAAGTTATGTTTGCAAAAGTTATTTGTGATGTCTCTTTACAGAATAAATTTCTCTTCACACAGCAACAACTTTGGTTGTTTGTATCAATGAACAACATATTACATATATGATAATAATATTTTAATGTTGTAAACATTACCTTTTAGTTTAAACTTCTTTTTTCCACCCTTTGTATTAGATCCTGGTACATCAATTTTGTCATCGTCATCTTCACTGTCTTCTAATAGCAGTTCTGTAATGAAAAAACATATGATCTTAATTATAAAGCTGAAGACTTTGTTTGTTTGGTTGAACGCGCTAATCTCTGGAAGTACTGGTTCGAATTGAAAAATTGTGTTTGTGTTGGATAACCTGAATAGGAGCCAAGCATCAATGAAATGAAATGTTACAAAATCGGGAAAGTTTCTTTCTTTCAGCAAGTTTATTTGTATGTAATGAAGAGTTCTTGTTCGACTACTTCTTTGTTTGTTGTTTTACTAATCTCGGGAACTATCACCATTATATTTGAATCATTCTTTTTGTTTTAGATAAAGTATTCATTATGGAATGTTGCCCATTCATTAAGGAATAGCCTATGTAACATCACGCTACGATCCTTCGGAGCTGAACATTCATCATAAACGCTGATTAAACTGCAGGGAATCACTAAATATAATTTTTCGTTGTTTTTTTACCATGTTGGTTGCTCAACCGCTCCAACCTAACACTAAGGGGGAATTGTTTGTATTTTGTTGTATTGAATTGTATATGTATCTCATGAGTCGCAGCGGTGTTTATCATCCAGTGAACCTGTTCTTTTTCCTGAATTATTTTTGGTCATTAATGGTGATTATTTTCTCATTAATACTATAAAGGTAACAAGTCACATATGCTTCAGCACACGCCTCTTAGTATGTAGCAAAAGACTCTACCATATTTTTAGGTACGAAAACGCCGTTAAGCCGATAATAATAAATAATCACGATAATTGGCCAATTACATAAAGACATACCAAGCTAATAAAAGCGCATTAAAAATACTCTGGGTATCTGAACACTATCTTACCGTTTTCATCACCAGAGAGATCTGGCTCATCTTCATCTCCAGATATATTGAGTTCTCCATCGCTGCCTGTAAATAATTTATTATTAATAAAAAAAAAATTACAACTAAACCGCGGGAATGCCATGATTCGACATAAATGGACAGGCTCGAGCGAATTTGCAAAATACCCGCTAAGCAGCAAATTTTGCGTTACTTTTCACTGAGTGAGTGGGGTTGTCGGACACAACCCCAAATTGAGGGTCGAAGTGCAAGTTTATTTTACATCAACTCGCTCTCGACAGCGAGCGCATTCGCTGTTGCGATTGGTAAAGATTTCAGTGCGGGCCAATCACAACGCCGAACGCGCGCCGTGACAACCGAATAGGAGTGAAATAAACTTACCCTGGGGCCCTCTGATACTCGGGTGGGACTCAAAGGGCGGCCTCGCAAAATAGACCAACCTAATTAAATCAGTAAAAATTTGCATTGATTTGAAACAGTTGCGCATAAGTGCAAATTAATATTGATAATTGTATTCATGTGTTTCATGAGCGATCTGGTTACCTTTATTTTTTTTAAAGACAACTCCCGCACTAGTTATATATCCTTTGTCGTGGGGGACTTCATAAACATCCATCGAACGGGCACGAAGAACACCCAATTACGAGTGTACCTGGCCAAAACATCCTAAAGCTCAATGGTAGCTGGACTCAGAATTCAAATCCAGGATCTTAGCACCAAAACCTTTTTTAACACGAGAGGAATAATTGCTCCAAAGTCGAATGGATACCAATCTTTGTACATTGAATAATAATATTTTTACTATTATTTAAATAAATAACTTGTAAATATGCTAACACCTACCCTCAACATCATCATCAGCTTCCCCGTTCTGTTCCATCGGCTCTATATCCTCATCGTCTCCGTCATCATCACTGCCGAGCGGTTCCTCGTCATCATCGGCCTGTTTCTTAGTGCCTCTTTTCTGTTTTGTTGATGCCATGTCCGCTAGATAGTCTAATTCGTCGTCTGATTCAGCTGTTGATCAAAATAAAAGCATTATTTCGATTACTATTTTATAAGCACAAGAAAAATGTTTAAATGCGGACTGAATGCTATAAGCATTATCTGCCAGTCTATCTCAGGGTGGTGTAGAGATGAGTGATTCGATGCACAAAAATTGGGTTTTACAAGTCTTGACCAAGAAATACATTTACACGAAAAGCGAAAAAGAATGGGGACAGAAAGAGGTATGTAATGTTTGTATGTATGTTGTTTATATATTGTATAGTAGGCCAAAACCTCCTTTCTAAGGAGAGGCTTATGTCCAGCAGTGGACTATTAAAAGCTGTTGATGATGATGATGATGTACATTGTTTGGGGTCAAACCTTATAACTGAGTTTTAAAGCATATGTTGAAATTTTGAATACACGTTTAGTTTGGATGACACTAAATAAAATGCCGCGCAGGGGACGCGTGGAAGCTGTTTAGAGATGGCTCTCTGACATCGGTTTCATTCGTTGACCCCTTTACAGGGGTAGGTTCTGGAGTGTTATACATAGGCCTAACGATTGATGTTAAGCAGAGGTAAATACGTCACGTCGGGGTCCCTTGTCCGTGTGGTGACGGATTAAGAATACAGAGTGTCACCACCCCTATTCATCCCGTGGGTGTCGTAAGAGGCGACTAAGGGAGAAAACTACGCAGGACAACAACACTGCAGAGAGAAGGAAAACTTGAAACAAACCCTATACCAACCCGTCTGGCCAGCGTGGTATAGTAGGCCAAAACCTCCTTTCTAAGGGGAGGCCTATGTCCAGCAGTTGACTATTAAAGGCTGTTGATGATGATGATGATGATGAGAGGTAAATATAGTAATTTGCGAAACTCTTTATTGCGCGATGCAGGATTTGTTCAGATGTTTCAAGTCTTACCTAAAGCTTTAGCACCAGTGACGGAATCCAGATACTGTTCAAAGTCCTCACTTGTGACAGAATCAGCGTCGCTGTCGTCACTCTCCTCTGCACCAGTATCGCGACGTTTTTGTAAGAAACTGTAATATACAAAATTAATATTTATTTTTACACATGACTTACTATGGTCCATTCGCGTTAAGAAAATAGTGACACATCGTTGTCCACTGACCATAAAGAATACCAAAAATTAAAAATCAATTTAAATAGTTTAATAGTTTTGTTGTAGGCACCGCATGGTGTTCACATGGAGTTTATTAATATAATATCAATAAATTGGACTTGGTAGTGATAGTCTGATATGGACCCAGGAGGAGAACAGTAGAACTGGTCATTATTTCATAGCCTGAGTCGCTTTTAAACCGTGTTGTTTTAGATTTTCGAAACTATAATTTATTCCAATAAAGATTATATTAAAGAGTGCAATTTGTACTTAAGATTGTCTATAGTTAAACAAATTATTTGATAGGCCTACGAGTCTAGCGGTTAGCAATCCTGGAAGAAGTAGATTCGATTCCCACCCAGGACATATTATAATCTAATAATTTACATTTTATATGTATATATATTTTAAAAATGAATGAAGCTGAAATGTAAAATTTAAGAAGGATGTGTGGTGTGACTAGGAACGACGAGGAAGGAATGAATACATTACAGTAAGCCTGAAAATAGCACCAGTGAATGAAAAGTTGAGAAGCAACAGGTACCCTGGTGTGGACATATGATGGGTAGAGATGAGCAAAATGTAGTGAAGAAAGTTTTATGTATAGAAGTTGACGGATATAAAGGTAAAGGACGACCAAAGAAATGATGGATGAACTGTGTGAAAGAGGATGGAGGAGATGGTACAAAGGAACTAAGCAGTCAACTGAGAGATAAAGCAGATTGGAAGAAGAAAACTCATTACCTCATTCACCCCAAATAAATTCAGAAAAGGGCAAGAAGTTGATGATGTATTTAAAAATGTTATCATCATCATCAACTGCTTTTAACAGTCCACTGCTGGACATAGGTCTCTCCTTAAAAGGAGGTTTTGTCCTACTATACATCTCTACCCAGACGGGTTGGTGTAAGGTTTGGGTTAAGTTTTCCTCCTCTTTTGCAGTGCTATTGTCCTGCGCAGTTTGCTCCCTTCCATCCCACGGGATGAATAGAAGTGGTGATACTCCATATTCTTAATCCGTCACCATACGAACTACTTAAAAATGTATAAGTATGTTTATCAGCAGTCTGGTTATCATAGTACAGGCTCTGCCTAGTTTGGAATCCTGAATGCCTGCATGGATGGCGTAGTGGTTTAAGCGGTCGCCACGCCGCTTTCTATTACGCTGAAATGTTGTGGGTTCAAACCCCACATGGGACAACACTTTGTGTGATCCACAAATTGTTGTTCTGAGGGGTATACTTTGTGTCCGTTTCATGTATGTTTGTAAAGTCTCCCGCGACACAGGATTTATTCCTAGTGGGGGAGTTGTCTTTAAAAAAGAAGAAGAAAAAGAATCACACGAAAGTGTGTGAGATGTGTCAAATTATTATTATTACTATTAATTTACTTACTCATACAGGAAACGCTCATCGACTGGCACTTTGCTCGCGTCCTCGTTCAAGTACGAAGCAGAATTCACTGGTATACTCCTCAGACCTAGAAAGCGTTTTCTTTTTTAATGTTATTTTTTAACAATCATAATTATCAGAATCATCAGACTTTTATCGTTCGAAGCCCTGACGATGTATTTATTGTTCGTTTTACGCAGATCGTCACTCCAACTGGCGTTTCCTATACTACATTTTTTTTTTCTTTTTTTCCGTGCGGAAATCCCCTCGGATACCACCGATCTCGAACCGACTAAAACCGCACGCCGTCTCGGGTACTAATAGCCGGGGAGCCGGGTATACATACCCTAGAAAGGAAGTCCCTGGTGCCCCGACATACCTCGGGCACCCTACAACAACAGGTAGACGACCCCCTCGTGATTCCTATACTACCCTAGATGCGTTCACTAGAACTCCTTTACAACAACTTTTAACATTACAGATGCTCAAAAAGCAAATTTATACATACTAACTACTAAATAAATGTGTATTGATTGTTTTTTTTTTATTATTATGATAGAGAGAGACGGGCAGATGGGCAGACGGGTCACGTGATGGAAAGTGACGACCGCCGTCTATAAACGTCTGCAATTAAGGAGTCACCAGAGCGTTGGCGGTCTTTGAGCTGGGAGTAACGCTCTTTTTTCTTGTTTGTAAATTGCATTATGTACATAGTTTAATTACTCTTACTAATGTTGAAATTTTAAATTAAATACACACACATGACAAAATTTTAGTTAGCCATAGATAGTGAACCCATTAGGGGATTTATATAGAATAGAATATGCTTTATTGTACACCAATTACAGTATGTTAGTTAAATATTATTATTATACATTATTATTATGTCATTTTATACCTTGTCTGGTCTCCCTTTTATTTTAAAGGGGTAACAAAATCTAACACACGGGCCTTAGCCAAGTGTGCCAAAAAGGGATGATGATATGAAGTTAAGATGATGAGGATGAAGCGACGAATTTGCGTGTGAGACGGCATGTGTTAAGAAGGACTGCTTTTTGTAAGAGTATGAGAGAGGATTTCGGCATTTCCAATGTGTTGAGGCTATCTTGAAGAGTCTTCGGTACTACACCAGTTGTAGATATGACAATGGGTTTATTATTATTATTATTACTATTACTATATTATTATTACAGACAGATATGTACAATTGGCGGTATGTAAATGACTGATTGAGTCCATGTAAAATGGTTGTTATTCCTACCTTTAGCTACATAATTCTTCCTAACAGCGAATTTAGGATGGGAGCCCTTCACTTTTTTGATGCCGTCATCCTGTTGGTCATCACTACGCTTCTTAGGGTTCTTGAACACGAACCGGTCCAGGAAACGGATACCGGCGAAGTCTTTGAGCGGATCGCCACTGTATTGAATGATTTGTTCTAAAAATAAAAAGAAGATACTACATTAACGTTAAGAAGGTAATAGGGTAGAGGAGGATTTTATATTTAGGCTTACACTGGAGCGTCCGACGGCCTTCCGGCCTGTTTCTTACGAGAGTATCTCATCTCGAAAATCGTTTTTATTTTATATTATATTTTAAACACGCATACTCGAGAACACTACTTCTGAAATACAAAAATATTTGTTCCATAAGGGAATCGAACCCCAGTACTCGATGTGACCTCGTGGCGAGGTGACTACTTTAACCTTTGCGCCTCCTGTGCAATCGAGTATCATCATCAACAGCCTTTAATAGTCCACTGCTATAGACATAGGCCTCTCCTTAGAAAGGAGGCTTTGGCCTACTATACCAAGCTGGCCAGACGGGTATAGTAGGGTTTGTGTCAAGTTTTCTTTCTCTTGCAGTGCTGTTGTCCTGCGTAGTTTACTCCCTTAGTCGGCTCTGATGACACCCACGGGATAAATAGGGGTGGTGACACTCCATATTCTTAATTCGTCACCACACGGAGCACGGACACACGGCAAATCGAGTATAACACAACACAAAAGAATGAGCGAACAGACCGTTGAGGATCCTATCGGCGAAGAGTTTGACGGTTGGGTGGAAGTGCCTGGCGAGCGTGGCTAGCTCCACGTGCGCGGAGCGCTGGGCGCCCGCGAAGGTTGGGTTGCGCGCCCACGGGTTGTACTCTGTTATCACCTGGATACCACAAATTACATTACTATTTTAAAAGATGTTACAAAAATATTTTAAATGCTAAATCTAATGTGTGCCTTATTACTTCACACTAAAGCTCTTTTTTATGGTATACTAGCTGGTACTTGCGACTTCGTTAGCATGGTATTTGGAGAACTATCTGTTTGTAATGTCAAAATAATAGGGTTTTTTCATGCTCACACGGTTATTTGCTCGATACCTATGCCTTAAAATCAGTTTAATTTTTTTTTTCTGTCTGTCTATTTCGCTGCTTGTTCCGGGTAATCTTCAAAACAGCTGGACCGATTTTGAAAATATTTTACCAACAGGTAGCTGTCTGTATAAAGAGTAATTTAGGCTATTTTTCCTCTCGAAAAAACACTATAAAATTTTGCGAGGTCTGGGAATCGAACCCGAGGCCTCATGGACTGAAGTCGCGTACCGCCCTACACTACTAAGCAGTACCTTTCAAATTCGAAGTCGCGGGTACCAGATAGTACTCACTAAACTTAGCACTTTTATAGTATAGTAGCAAAAAAGCAGAACTGTCACTTAAGGTAAGTGATTACCTTCGCTTATGGACACATGCAACCCAAGAGACACAAGAGCATTGCTACCCTTTAAAATCCTCACCCCCCGCCGAAGAATATACGAAGAGGGGTGATTTGAACTCCACTAACTTCACTTACTCGGTGAAAAGTGACGAACAAATTACTTAACACCGGATTTCTGTGAGACTATGGTATTACCCCTCTTATCCTCTTCCTATTTTTAACCCCCGACGAAAAACGAGGGGTGTTATAAGTTTAACCGGTGCATCTGTCTTTCTGTCTGTCTGTGGCATCATAGCTCTCGAACGGATGAACTAATTTCGATGCGGACTTTTATGTTCGAAAGCCGATGTGATCAAGATGGTTCTTAGCTACAAATTTTGAAAATCATCAGCTCACTTCCAAGGTGATGAAGGGATCTCACTCAAATCTACAGGTCCGATTGATCTGAAATTCGGTATACTGTTACTTTGATGGTATTTCCTGGTAACCTGGAACTTGTTGCTGCATCAAGTAGTCTGCGGGATAGTCAACTCCTCATAAAATTACAGCATATATACCATGTTTGGGCTTATTGGAACAGTCTCAATGAGCAGTTGTTGGGTTTTTTGTGTCGGGGTTTTTTTTTAACACGGCAATGACACAATAGATATAATTTTACCTTATCCATGTTGACAGACTTCTTTAGCTGTATCTTGGCTTCTAGATCTTTATTCTTCTGTTCTACATTGTGGTCATCATTTCCGTTCATAACAGCCTCTGTCTTCACTTTGGCGTGGAACCAGCTCGGTGTGACGCTGGACTGCTTGCGTTTCTTTGGCTTGATGTTACCTTCCTCATCAATCTTGAGGTCCACGTAGGATTCTTCTTCGTCATCTTCTGAAAAATGGTTTTAGAGTAAGTAATTTTGATTTTGGAAGTTTTTGTTTTAAAGTTTTAAATTGTATCCGAATATGTCCATTGTCTCTACATATATAAAGTTATATTCAAGATTGTGTTATACACATATACTCTTTCAGATTAAAAAACAATCTTCTGGAAACTTTTAAAATAAATAAATAGATTGAAAACGATACGTCAAGCTTAATACTCATGAAACAAAATGAAAATCATCTTTTAGATTCTTTCCTAACATGTTTAAAATGCTCCACAAAGCGCCATATTTTAAAAATGGTGGTTTACAACAGTAAGTAGGGTTTTTGAGTGACGAGTGAGAGACACCTCAGTGTTTTTTCTCTGTCTATTCCTATATTACATAAGTGAACTTTTGCCCGCAGCCTCACTTGTGTAAATGTTAATATTGAATTTATTTGAATACTGTGTGTCTAGTGGTTAGCGACTCTGGTTGCTAAGCTGGAGGTTGTGGGTTCAATTCTTAACCAGGACAAATATTGTGTGATGAGCACAGTCATTTGTTCTATGTCTGGTCTCTTCTATGTATGTTTATCAGCAGTCTAGTTACTATAGCACACACTCTACCTAGTTTGGGATCATAGCCGTGTGTATATAATAATTAATATAAAGTAGTATTTATAGGGAGTATAAAATAGTAACATTTACACACAGGCTACTTTGCTTGTAAACTAAAATAAAAAGGGTAATTTGGATAAAATAATATAGAAATTTATATTAAATATATTATAACCCTGATATCTTTTGTATTTAAAATTTATGTATGTCTTTATCTATTTTAAATAATTAATATAAAATAGTCAAATAAGTTACAGTTTGAATTGTAAAATAAATCACTACCATCAACATAACTGTTTTAAATTCTGGAATTTAACGTTTTTTTCGCCTTAAAAGGAAACTATAAATATTGCACATTACCTAACAATAAATCCTTCTTATCACCATGCAGAAGGTCAACCCTCTTCTGTTGCACTTTGATTTCCTCATCTTCTGTGCTGTCTATGGTATTGTTTACCTCCGTTATTGTATCATCTTTATCACTGTGTTCTCCGTCTTCCTTGATCTCACCTTCATCGTCTTCTATATTTTCTGGTGGTTCATCTTTTATTTCCTGCAACAGTTGACAACATATTATGCTTTAGATAACAACAGATATTTCTCTCGCAACTGTTGGTGTATTGTTTATAAATCCATACTTATAAATTTGAAAGTAAGTTTGTTTGTTTGTTTGTTCCGCTTTTACGCCTAAACCACTAAACCAATTTTAATAATTCTTTCGCTAATAGCAAGTTAAATTATTGGGGAACAACATAGGCTAATTTTTACCGCGATAACCGACATATACGCAGGCGGAGCTGCAGACAAATGCTAGTACTCAATAATTGAGAATGTTAGGATGGATGTTGTGTGGTGACGGATTAAGAATACAAATTGTCACCACCCCAATTCATCCCGTGGGTGTCGTAAGAGCCGACTAAGGGAGCAAACTAAGCAGGACAACAGCACTGCAAAGAGAAGGAGAACTTGACACAAACCCTATACCAACCCGTCTGGCCAGCGTGGTATAGTAGGCCAAAACCTCCTTTCTAAGGAGAGGCCTATGTCCAGCAGTGGACTAGTATAGGCTGTTGATGATGATGATGAAGGATGGATGTTTGTTACTCAATCATGCCAGAACGGCTCAACGGATCTGGATGAAATTTGGCAGAGATCAATTATAGTCTGGAGCACATATTTTTTTCTATGAAGAAAAAAATGATTGCCAAAATCAGGCAAAAACTAGTTTTATAATAAAACAATGTTTTAACGTGTCTCCACTTTTTATTGTTTTATTTTGCGTTTCTGCACAATACGGTGTAAGTATAAAAAACAAAACTTGCTCTTTTATAAATTAATAAATTGGCAGTAGCGAAATGACCAAAGCATTAAGTAGTTGTAAGTTCAAACCCCACTTAGTGCACTACCAAAGTAAACAATCAATTTTTGAAGCCTCGAACGGTCAACTTTGCGGGGTTTGCGGTGGGGCAATATGTCGGGATCGAACTGACTAAAACCACACGGTGTGACTAAAATAGGATGGATACGGGACCAGCTATTATTAAGACATCAGGACTCTCGAAGCGCTTGCTGCAATAACCCGCAAAAACCCTTTATCCGACGTCCAGAAACCTAGGCACATGACTCCACTCCTATAGAACAAGCATTTAGCTTATCTGAATAGCACGCGTGACCAATTATCCTAGAATTCTATTAAAAAAACAAACCTCTTTAATCTCTCTCTTCGTCCACACGAGCTGGAGAGCCTCTTTCTTCGCCGAATCTTTCAAGATCTGAGATATGAGGAAAAGCATTCCGCACGCCTGCGCGGGATTCATATAACAACACAGCTGTAATAACCGCTTGATGAATGAGCAAACACGAGGTATATTCTTGTCTTGCTTTAATGATTTGTATATGAGAGAGAAGAGAAGAGCCGAGTGAGTTGTGTTGAAGATTTCAGCGTTGATTAGCTTCCGGTAGAGGGCGGTGTAGTAGCTGTGAATAAAAAATTTTTGAATAAGTATCTGGCACTGTTTCTGTGCTTTTACCCACAATTTAACCCCTGCCACTGCTTTGGGTATTCGCGTGATGTTAAATACCGTTCTTATAAATTGGTTTCTTATCAATAGCAATAAGATTTTTTCGAGTTATTTTACTTATAAGACCGCGTAATAGTCGAATTTCGACCTTAACACGTATGATTTAAGGTCGAGATTCGACTACCATGTGGTTATAGTTAGTAGTTTTATTATTAAATTTTGAATATTTTGTTACATATCAATGACCAGTATAACTTGAACTGTCTTTCAGTAACAGTAACAGCCAGTTCGAGTCACATGTATGCGACACACAAAAATAATATCAATAAAAATATATATTTGAAAGCAGTTTTATTTCTAAATAGTGGCTCGTCTGACATTCGTTCTGATAAATACAGAAGTATATGTGTACTTACCGATCGCTGGTCCCTTGAGACGCATCACTGATGTGAAAGAGCAGCGCCAGCGCATGTATGGCGATGTTGATGCCGGCGAGGTGGACGAGCCTATGTATTGCGTCTATATGTGTAGGGGTTTCTGACAAACGCTCTTTATTCGCGAACGGGTAAGCGCGCTTGACGCCAGTCAAAATGGCTGACATTAGACGAGAGTCGATTTCACCCTGAAAAATTATATAATAATAATATTTATTATACACCAGATACAGATACAATACTTGTCTTAAACTAGGTTAGTACAAATGGCGGCCTTATCGCTCACAGGCAATCTCTTATAGGCAATCGTGGTATGGAGAGAACATGTAGGGGAGGAGGCATTGGGTAGTGGCTGGTGTATTAAGAAATAGAAAAGAAGATGAAATCAAAGTTGAAATTATATTACATTTAGGGACATTCTTGGACATTATAGGCATGCAGAACTAAAATAAATATTTCTGAGACTGTTCTACAACACCAATGAAAATACATCAGTATTTTTATTTGTATATGCATTCATAAGAACCAATACAAAGTGTTATTTATTTGGAGTCAACTCAAACTCTGTTTATTTCATAAAAAAAAAATGTTTGAAATCGTCTTTTATGTAGACTCTAAAGTCATAGATCAACACACACAAAAGCAACAATCTCTGTTTTGTCAAATAAATTAATGCAAGTAAGTAAATTTAAATTAAACTGACTGAACTGACTGTGGAAATCTAACGAAAATCACTAAATGTTGACAGTTACCAGCACTACTTAAGTGAAGTTAGCGGTCATTTTAGTCTCATGCAGCGGTGTTTTTGTGCGCGGATGAGGAAAATGTGGCAAAGAAAGTTTTAGTTATGAGAGTTGAAGGGTACAAGAGAAGAGGCAGACCGAAGAAGAGGTGGATGAACTGCGTCAGGGAGGATATGGCTAGGAAGGGAGTAGAATGGAAAAATCATACATACTGCGCCGACCCAAAATAAAATTGGGAAAAGGGTAGGCAGATGATGCAGAGGTGTTTTTGTTTGCTTGTATATTATTGAATTATATAATGTTTAGCATATATGGAAACATAATTTTTATACGCACAAAATAAATATTTTTCTTTCTTCATTGCCATATCTTTTTTGTACTACTGACAATCTGTTTGCAAAATTTCAAGATGATCGGTAGAGTAATTAAGGCGCAAAAACTTTACAAACATAGAAATTCACATTAGCATTTTTATTATAAGTAAGCAATTTAATTGTTACCTTCTTAATTGAAGCTTTGAAGAAGGAAAAGTATATTCTGATGAGATTCTCTGCTATCTGCGAGTCGTCTTTACCCAAGAAGAATTGATTGAGGAAACAGATTCCGTAGTACTGAGCACGGGCTGAGATGTTAGACCTGAAAAGATTTTTTCAAAATGATTGAATCTGGCAGAAGGTAGCACACTGTAACTGTCTGCTCGAAATAGAGTTGTTTTCCCACAAATCCGTGTAGTGACGAATTAAAAATGTGTGTCAATTCTGCTTCGTACTTGAACGAGGATGCGAGGAAAGTGTAAGTCCGTTTCCTGTATGAGTAAGTAAATTAATAACAACAATGATAATAATTTGACACATATCACACAGTTTCATGTGATTCCAAACTAGGCTAAACTAGTCTGTACTATGATAACTAGACTGATAAACATATTTATACATTTTTAAGTAGTTCCTATGGTGACGGATTAAGAATACGGAGTATGACCACCCCTATTCATCCCGTGGGTGTCGTAAAAGCTGACTAAGGGAGCAAACTACGCAGAACAACAGCACTGCAAAGAGAAGGAAAACTTGAAAGAAACCCTATACCAACCCGTATGGCCAGCGTGGTATAGTAGGCCAAAACCTCCTTGCTAAGGAGAGGCCTATGTCCAGCAGTGGACAAATTAAACTGTTGATGATGATGATTTCCCACAAATGTGCAGGCTTAACAAGAATCATACCACAAATCAAGAAATCAGTGTTAGGTAATTCCTTGGCTGCTTTTCACCAAGTGAGTGAGGTTACCGGAGCCCAAGGGTTTAAGGGTTTAAAGGGCAGTAACACACACGGGGATTGTGAGTTTCAGGCGTTCAAGGGCGGTTATGGTCACTTACCAACAGGTGAACCGTCTGCTGGTTTGCCTTCCTATGCCATAAAAAAACTGCCTGATAAAGAGATATACTAGACCTAATAACAGTTTTGGTTTCTGGTACCTACACATATACACAAGGTATTACAAAAAGCTGTGTCAAAATATTTGGAGTATATGGGTAGTCAACTACTCATACGAATGTGTAAGTAGATATATATGTCTAAGGGATTATGCTTTTCTTAGGCGCACAATTCTATTATAAATAACAAATTTTGCAAATAATTTCATCGTGGCGTTTAATATGCTTAAGGGCTGTATAAAAACTTACCTAAACAACATCTTTTCAATTTCAGTCAAAACAACTTTCTTCATATTGGGGTGGTTGTACAACAACTGACAGAGATGGTAGATTACCTTGCTTGCCACTGCTTGGGATGGGTCACCGAGTTTGTTTATAATATTTGTTAACAGCATCTGAGGATATAAACATGCTTGTATTAGCTTCACTTTTAACTTACTATGAAAAGATATCTACATATCTATAAAGTTAAATAATAATAACCTCACACATCTCACGCATGACCATCTGATCCCAAACTAGGCCGAGCCTGTACTATAGTAACCAGACTGCTAATAAACATACTTATATATTTCTACATTTTATAAATAAATTACACCCAAACACAGAACAAATCATCATGCTTATCACACAATTATCATTTTTAAATATATAAATGATGAAACAACCACAACGAATGCTCATTATATCAAGTTTTTTTTATTAAGACAACTCCCACTCAGAACAACAATTTGTGGATCACACAAGTGTCATCCCATGTGGGAGATCGAACCCACAACAATCAGCGTAGTAAGAAAACAGCGTGGTGACCACTTAAACCACTACGCCATCCATGAAGTCATATTTTTTCTTAATTTACAAATCTTCTTGAATTATACCTTTTCCCTTTCAGGATGATGCATCAGCAGATACGACATGGCACTGACTGCCTTCTCTTTATTGGCTTCTACTGAGTCGTGAGCAAATTTGTTTAGAGCTTCTACATATGCTGGAAATGATAAGCTTAATTATAAATTACCAATACCAGCTGTTTCACATAAAATCATGCAGGACTAACGCCGGTGTTCGCATACCTTTTCAACAACTGATAGTACAACAAATAGTTAGATGACATTGATATCTTTGCTCTTTCTAATAACCAATTTAAAAGTCACACTATTCAATTAACCGCCTTGCGAACTGTTACTGTACTGTGAACTGAATATTATCGGTTGTTTATACTTTGAATATGTAATTTTATATAATTAAAACTTTAAGATGTCACTGTGTATGTTAAAAATGCATAAAAAGAAGTGGCAAAAAACCAATTATAGGGGTATTGTAAAAGAGCAAACACGGGGAGAACTAGTAATATCTACTATCTTCATTTTAGGAAGGGACCAGTGTTGTCAAATTGACATATTTATACTTTATGTAGTACAGGGTGCAAACAAACAGACGGGTCAGATGGTAAGTGACTCTCATCGTCCACAGACACATGCATCTTAAGAGTGGTGAGCCTTTGAGCTAGCCCTCAGAAGCTGGAGAGAGTGTTTGGGGTTTCGGTTGTAAAATGGTTCTCATCAATTGGCAATCTTTATATTGATCCTATAGAGGTTATTAACCTGCTTAAAGTGTACTTCTAATTTCACATATCTCGCTGTCCATATTCATTAAAAAGATGCATAAATAAAGATCTCCTCAAGTATTATTTTATAGATACTCACTTCCATACAACTCCTTCAACTGATCCTCATAATACCATAGTTTTAGTATATTCCTGCGCGCTTGTTTGTTGCCAGATGTCATCTCGTCCAAGTGTCCCAGCGGATGCTGTGCCAACGTGCGCAATTTGACGTCCGGAATCAGTAGTTCGGATACTAACAGTTCTGATAATGCATCTATGACAAGCACAAAGACCAGTTGTAGAAACCTTCACACAAAACGACAAATTAACTATATTGTAATTACTGAAGGTCAATTCTCATAATAAAAACTCGTTCAAAAATGACTACTAGACTAGCAGAAATGACTTTTGGTCACAATATGATATAACCATATAATAGTCAACGTTGGATGTTTACAACTTAACTCAGAGATTATCTTTCGTGAGATTGAGAGTACATCAAAACTGATTTTTGATTCAATTTTTATTACAGGAACTGAACTTCTGGTCTTGCATTGTGCATTGAAAATTCTCATGCTTTAAGTCATTGTAAATAAACAATTATTCATAACTTACCAATGATAATGATGCCATCCTTCTTTTTAGCAGGTTTAACATTATTAATTAAATTTCTTAATGCTGTTAAATTGTATATTGGATTGTCCTGTAATAGCAAAAAATATTGTGTTAATATTGTCTTGTATCAGCATTAGCAGTTAAGATCTAATAATGGTTTAAAATAGATTAATGGTTTAACTTATAACAAAGAGTTTATTTTTTAAACATGTTACATTTGACAAAGCAACCTATTTTTGACTTTAAATAGGACTTTGCGTCTTGATCTAGATTTTTTTTACGATTGTCATAAATTTTAATTAGGCATAATAAGTTTATGTAGAATTAGTGTTACCATTGAGTAAACATACAGACCTGAATTAGGATAGTAGCAGCCGCTACTCTATCTCCTATGGCACCCTTATTCAATAACGTCTTGGCCCACTGGTGGTCTGAGGAACCGCTGCGGTTGGTTTCTAGAATAAAAATGAAAAGTATATACCCTAATAATCTCAATTTTATGTTGTGATAATAAATAGTGTTTTTGATCACAATGATGTGAATATTATTATTTTTGAATGTGATTTTAGTGATAGTAAACAATTTGAAATACAATGAAAAATATTATCAATACTGATGACGCTTACATGTTGGGTGTGTATAAAACATATCAAATCTAAAATACATGGATATCACAATTACAAACATTTGCATTGAGCCCAAGTTGAACCCGCATACCCAAATGTTGCAGTGGTATTGCAACATCATTAAGTAAAACCAATACTAACTAGTTTCATATGCCATAGTGTCTCCATGTAATGCACTGTTTGCTTCTTTTGTTATCTCCTCTAACTGCTGCTGTGTAACAGTTTTTGATATTGTACCAGGTTCTTCAGGTAACTAGAAAAGATATAATTAACTTTTAGAAAAGTATCACTGACTTTGAAAACCGAAACCGAAAACTACTTTCTCTAAAAAAAAAGATATTTTTAATCTGATCATAAATTATGGGAGTTCTGAGATAAGAAATCATAAATAAAAATATTCATTTTATAATTCATAATACAATTTATCATCACTATAAGTTGAAATTATTAGTTAATTTCAATATCATGTTGTGAAATATTATTTATGTATAATTTATATGATAACTCTTACCTGGTGGTACCATTTCTTTTTGTCTTCATACTCTAATGTTTCTGCAAAATGCTTTGCAATACCTTGAGTTTTCTTCTGATCGGCATTTTTATCAGGTTGCCCATAATTTGTGTACGCCTCGTCAACTAAAATGTTCTCTTCGAACCTCTTATGCTTCATATTTGGTTATCTTATATCTATATATGTAATACTTATTTTAATATCTTATATAAATATATTTAATGAATTACGTGAAAATAACAAGAACACGTGAAAACTTAACACTTCTTGCCATGCCTCATTGACATTTGTATTTTTTGTAATTTGTTGGTTGCCGCAGGCAGTGCTGCCAACAGTTAAATAAACTCTCCACCAGATTCAACATCTAAAAACCAGAAAACTACTAACAAAAAAAAACCTTACTCGATTAGGCACTAAATTTGCCACTAAACATTTATTTTGGTAATTACGAAAGAAAACCATAGTATATTCATAAATAGTTTCCTTTATTAAAATTTAATACTGATACTAATCGTGTTTGTCAGCACCATTATTATCGGTTCTAGATTAATACGATTCTTTGGGACCGATTTGTTTTACATCGTTTTTTGAAATTTTATATTTATTGCAGCATTCCATTAGTCTGTTTACACCTATAGTCTCTCAACTTAACATTGGCATTGAAATAAGGCATTAATAATAGAGTAACATTAAAGGTCGCTAATTTCTATAATGTTGAAATCCCTTGGCCCCGTGGGCATCTTCGAAGAGCAATGCCTCTAGAATGTGCAAATTCCGTAACACGTTGAGCATTGGTAGACAACAACGGAACGAGTTTCATTGCTTTGGGTGAAATCAATGTTCATTTCTCTTTTGCTACTCAACCGGATCATTAAACATAGAGTCGGACCCTGAATTATAAAGCTAGTCGGTCCAGACCCAATATCCCTTCTCCTGTGCCTTCTGGGTACAAAAAAAGATTATCCTGTCTGTCTGTTGTAACACAATGGTTTGCAAGCCATAGGATGATAGTTACCATCCTGGATTACATCCTCGAAGTTGTAGGGGACATTTTTATCCTCAAAGCTAGTATTACAAAACGCTTTTCTTTTACTTGATGATAGTACAATTACAAATGCTAAGTATACATAGGTATGGGTATAATAAATACAATACGTACCTCCAATCCAACTCTCGTTCCGAAATGAGAAGTTGTCATGTGTGCCAAAACCCATTTATTCAAATCTATACTTTATAGGTGTGTCAGAAACAGGAAATTATTGGTATTTGTAAAAAGAACTTTATGCAAAGAAAATAGAGTTTAGTTTCAACTTCAAAATTACATCGATTTGTCATATAAAAAATATGTGACACAGCAACACAACCACGGGAGTCTATTTGGTTCCGTTCCTAGATTACGGCAAGTTATTTTAAAGAAATATAATTTTAAGTGAAATTATAATAGACTAAGAAAAATGGATGAGAAAGGAAGAAACGTTATCGTTTGTGACAACGGAACTGGTGTAAGTTCAACATTAACATACGATGTAAAATGGTGCTTGTGATAAGCGATTGGATATCCTTTTCCTTATGATGTATTGTCGGTTTTAGTTCGTCAAGTGTGGATATGCAGGCAGTAACTTCCCCGCTTTCATATTCCCATCAATGGTCGGCAGACCGATCATCAGGGCAGAGAACAAAATTGGAGATATTGACGTTAAGGTATGTTGAGAATGTTTCGAAATGCTATGTCAGTCAAGTAGAACCAAGATGTATTATAAATTTATATCTATACAAATAAATAAAATTGAAGTGTGCTTGTAATATCCAAATAATAGGTTTTTTGATGCTGACACGGTTATTTACAATACCTATGAAAGGACAAAATTGTATAGGGCTTTTCTGAGAGGAAAATAGCTTAAGTTACTCCTTATATAGACAGCTACCTGGTAGTTAAATATTTGAATAATCAGTCCAGCCATTTTGAAGAATACCCAGAACAAACAGACAGATAGACAAAATATTTAACTGGTGTTTTTAGGCATAGGTATCATGCAAATAACCATGTGAGCATGAAAAAAAAACGTTATTTTAACACTACAAACAAACACTTTTTATTTTATTTATTTGTATAGATAAGTGTAATAATAATTTAATTGCAGTAATTAATAAAGTTTGCTTTTTACTTTTGAAATTATATTGTTCCAACTGCCTTGTAACCATCGTTTTTTTCGTCGGTGGTGGGTTAAAATCTGTCTATGTAACCTGTTATATATTTGGTGAAATAAAGGTGTGTGTGTAGTGTATCAAATTCATAATGTGGGAGAGTCAAGCTTTGTCAAGTCACAAATGAGCTGACTTTTTTTTTTTTTTTTTTTTTTTTTTTTTTTTTTTTTTCTGAAATGAACTGATACCTCAGACCCCTAACGACGACTCGTTGAGGCTTTTAAAACTACAACAATGATACTTCCTGCTAAAATATTAGTCATTCTTATAACAAGTCAATATGGTGATAGTCGATAGTCGATGTGTTACATACACAACTAACAGTTTTTTTTTAAGTTTCAAATAAGACCTTGTTGTTGGGTTGATTTTTAAAGCTTGTCGACCCCCAAAATCAGTTTTCGTTTATGTCAACCCCCGGGACCGGGAAAGAGATTTCAACCGCAAGGGGTCGATATCTACCACTAGAAATCCCTGCTCCAAACCTCCAAAACCCCTGATTTTGAAGGGGTTGAGGGCAGGACAGACTCAAAGGGTAGCAAAGCACTTATGACTTAGTTGCAGGTGAAGCCAGTAGGTTCCTCGTTTACCTTTTCATGCTTAAACTGATTTAGATGAAATTTAGTACAGAGATTGTTCGAGTCCCAGGAAAGGACATAGGGTAGTTTTTATCCCAGAAATCATCCTTCAAGGGGGTGAAAAGGGGGGTATCAGTTTGTATGGGGAATCAATAACTGCTGAATCAATTTAGATAAAATTTGGTATAAAGATACTTTGATTCTTGAGGAAAGACATAAGCTAGACATTTACGCGGGTGGAGCCGCGGGCAAGAGCTAGTCTTTAATAAATATGAATTTCATTTGTGACAATTTTTTGCCTGGAAATAACAGATTTTGAATTCTATATTTGAAGATTTCTAATGCCATTTGCAAAATTAGGAAAATATCAAGCTAAGAATTACAAAGATGTATATTAAGCTACATTTATGTTCCAGGATGTGTGTATTGGAGTAAGTCTAAGTTCAATATATGCATGAGTTTGGAAGTATTACAGTTTTCAACATTCACTAATAATGTGCCAGTGTCAGAATTTAATACATTACCCTTAAGAGTATATAAAACAGTGTGACATCCAATGATTGTTTTTAAAAATATATTTTCTTATTTATACTAAGATCTGATAACAATTGTCAATTGTCAGTGTAATAATCTGTTACTAAGATCAACATCTTGATATTACCTCTTTGTTAATGTCTGCATATAATTTGCCTTACTTTAAAAAAATATGAAAGAAAAGAAATTAGGATTTCATTAATATATAATAACAACGTCATCCGTATTATAGTAGACTTAAAAAAGCCGACCTCAACCTAAATGACATCTCACACACAGCTGCCTGATCCCAAACTAGGCCATCTGTACTATGGTAACCAAACCGCTGATAAATATACTTATATACTACTAAATAAATACATATTGTAAATAAATTACACCCAGTCACGGAACAAAAGATCATGCTCATCACACAATTTTATTGTCCTGGGTGGGAATCGAATACACACTTTTTGGCCTAACAGTCAGTAACAATTACCACTAGAACAACAGGCCAATTTTTTTTATAAAGGAAATATGTACGTATGTATAAGGTTTATAAAGGCAACCGAAATTACTAGTATTCCCGTTAACCCCTCCCGCTAAATTGCTTGTGTTAGGAGTGGGTTCACGGCACACCTCTTGATCGGCAGAAAATTCCAATGATTTTCGACTCAGAATTATGGTCCTAATACACTATTTCAGTATTCGTTACGATGTCCCTTACACCCTCTATGTGACTATTATAAAATGTGCAGGAGTGAATAAAGAAAAGTAAGATCAAAATACTACAAATTCTTTTACAATCAGCCTGATCTGAGTGGTCACACTAGTGTTTCAGGCAGTCGCTTCACTAAGATGTATGATACAATATGTTTGTTAAATTACTTGAGACTGGTTTGTATCCTTGACTAATCCAGTATTAGTCATTCTGCTAACAGTAATGATCAAATCATTGTGATTACTAATTGTGGATGATATTGTGTTGTGATTTGAGTTCTGTGAAATTGTTTGTTATCTAACTGATCTATTTATTAAAACCTTGTCTATTCTTAGAATAAGTTAGGCCAAAGGTTCTTAAACTGCTTTGTTTCTCGTATACCACTTTCAAAATTTTCGGTCCCCTTATTCCCAAAACTCGCAAAAATTCCAGTCCAGTCTCTCGTGGATCAGGATTCACCTAAACCACTTTTGGAATCACTGATTTAGACTCAGAACTTTACTGATAGTCTTAATTTAGAGTGAGTTGCAAAAATATACGTGTTAAATTAAAACTTTATTCTAGAACGAAATTATTACGTTACAGGTGTTTCACCAAGAAGTTTTTACTGGCTTAATAAAGTACATTCATTTTAAGTATCTTAACATAGTATAATTTTAAGTCGCTTTTTTCCCTTGTACGCTTAGATCTTTCAAAAACTAGGTACGCAACTGATTTTAATGCGGTTTTCACCAACAGAGAGAGTGATTCAAGAGGCGGGTTTCTATGCAAAATATACTATATACAGATAGGAGATATCATTTAAACTAAAATTAATCTAGTTTTAATTGACACAAATATAATATTGAAGACCCTGTGCTACAACATTTGATTGCAATTGCCTTTATCAGCTGAACGATCTTGACAAAGCAACAAAGTGGCAATTAGAAATAGAAAAGAATACTAAAAAGAAAACTCCTAATGAGAGACATTTAAACAAGTCTACCTCAACACTTGCCAGACCAGACTGATAAATGAACTTTAAGAAAATAGTTTTCTTACAGTTCATTATTTATAGTTATTGTCCATTATTTTCGCCTATTGGAGGTGATCTTCAATTGGCATGCTCTTGCCTTAGGAATGGTTATCCTATTGCAAAAAGTGGCCTATATCAGTTCTTAAATGAGTCTTACAGAAAATTCAATTGTATATTTAATTTATGAATACGTTTCACGCAAACCAGGGATTTAACCCGGAAGTGGTGCAGGTAAAATTGTAATATAGGGCTTAGTGTATACAGACGTGCTAAGCCACAGCAGTAGCAATTATTATACTTCAATAGAGTTGTCATTGCTTTATCTACTTTAGGCTTAGAGGAGAGTTGTTTTCTTAATAATTGTATAGAAGTAGCCCTGTAATTAACATCCAGAATATCGTGCGAAACAAAAGGCACCTTAACTTGCGGGAACAAGACACAATACTTGAAACCCGCACCTACAAGTTACTTGCTAGTAGCTTTTTTTGGAAACCAAATCTGATGCGAACATTTTTTAAGTAATATCTAAATAATCAGCATAGTTAACAATTAAATGATATGGAATTTGACTTGATAGTCTAGTTAAAAGTGTTTTGTTTTGTTTTGCAGTAAAAGCATCAGGTTTGGAATTAACTGCATGTAACTTAAGATAGAATAACAAAACACGCGTTAAGTAAATTACACAAATTTTAAAACGCACTTGCTGCCTATACAATATACGTAAAATCAATTACAATGCATTGTAATATTTGTAATGTAATAGAAATGCACCTTGAGAAATTTCGATACTCATGATCATTTTTAGTTGACCGGGGTGAAGTTAGCAGCGACCGGAGTCGCAATAGTAATTTTTGCGAAGAATTGCCCCAATTTCTTGCTATAGTAAAAAACTTCAACCTCGTCAGTTTGGATAGCGTGTACTGTTTTATGAAATAAAATAATCAAATCTAGACTTAGATTTTATACTTTATTCTTTTTAATATTCCGTATACACATAAGTAGTCACATAACGGTAGTCAATTTTCAAGTCCAGGCAAATGTGTAGAGTCAGAAGTGGTTCTCTTGAAATATGTGCACTACGAGTATATACTTGAAACATTATTTCTAGACGGTATAGGTAAAAATTTCAGTTTGTAATAACTTCTTATAGCAGCTTACAAACAAGAAAAATTAATAGCGTGCGATGCGTAATTTAAATTCCTTTCGTCATTTATATCAGAGCTGAAATGTGCTTTATCCTCGCAACATGAACTCAGTCCTAATTGACAGCCACTTAAAACAAGATTTTAGTATTAGCGACCAGAATATTCTCTTCTGGGATATAGTAGCTTATCACTAAACCACGCATTTCGTTTGTAATTTTTATTTCACTGTTAGTCGCAAAGAACGCGATGCTAACGGTAAATCCTGCAATTTAACGCAATAAGCCGCTAAAAAGCAGTAACTTGCAAAATTGCAGCTCTACAATGCTTATAATTAGTGTGTTTTGCCTTTTTTCACTAATAAGCTTGTATTTTGCGTCCCCGGCATGGCGGTCCCTATCACACAATTCGTTTTATTATCATATTTTCGTTGATACAATTGCAAGATAAAATATTCAATTGTTAAAACGTTATCAGAGGGCCTAGTATAATTTTATTTTACATCTACTCGATCGTGACGGTGACCGTGTTCGGTATTGCGATTGGACCGCGCTGAACTCTTCACCAATCGCAACACCGAACGCGCTCGCCGTCGAGAGCGAGTTCATGTGAAATAACTCACACTAGGCCCTTTGCTTATGAATAAGTTATTGTTACCTATATATATAAATTAACAGAATCTCATCTTTAGGATTTGATGGTAGGCGATGAAGCATCGAAGCTGAGGTCTATGCTCGAAGTCAGCTATCCTATGGAGAATGGGGTAAGTTTGTTTGTCGTGTATTTAGCTATAGAACGTATTACCGTGGGGTGGGGGAGTTGTTAAGCAATTCTTTCGTTGCTTTACATCCAGTGAGTGAAGTTACCAGCAGCCCAACCTCCGGTCTGCAAAATCTAGTAGGGGGGGAACGCTCAAACTCACTTATCTATATACAACTTCGCAACATCAACCGTTGGGGCGCGGTCCGCCAGGCATGATCACCTCGCCTGGTCGGAGGATCCACCCTTTGTGTTGGAGGGACATGACTCCCGTTACTCCTCACTAGACTACATTTGTGTGTTCGAGAGTACATCGGAACTGAACTAAGAACGATTTTTTTGTACGAGAATTGACCTTTAGATGTGTTTATTTCTCTCGAGGGTTAAAACCAACAAAACCAATCATTAACGGGGTTTTAATTTTATCATAAATACATTTTTCTGTAGGTATGTACTTTCATGATCGATACCTCGTTGCTTACAGGTTGTCCGCAACTGGGAGGATATGTGTCACGTCTGGGACTACACCTTTGGGCCTAGCAAAATGAACATCGACCCTAAAGAAACAAAGATATTGCTGACAGAGCCCCCCATGAACCCTACAAAGAATAGGGAAAAGATGATTGAGGTAAGTTACTTTATTGACATATATTTGATATTTACCATAAGGGAACGTACCCATACTAACGGGTCTACCAATAGGAATGACCTGGTTTTGACAGCTCATAGCGGCCATGTTTGATGATGAATCTTTGACGTCTCTTGACATTTGTGTTCAGTAAGGTTTGCCATTTTATCATGTCACGTTTCACTTTCAACCAACGCTTGGAAATTGTCTAAAACTTCTTTGAAAGTGACGAAGTATACCCTGTTACTGTGAATGGCGACCGCTATAACTCGATGTTAACCGAATATTTCTTTCCGGAATTTGATGATATTGATGCAGACGACCTTCATTTTCAACAAGACGGTGCACTACCTCACATTACTCGGGTGAACATGGAATTATTGCGTGGAAAGTTTGGTGAGTCGTTAATTTCGAGAAATGGACCGATCAGTTGGCCACCTTTGGACTATTTTCTTTGGGGTTACGTTTAATCTAAAGTGTACAGCAATAATCCAGCTACAATTCGTGACCTAAAAACCAACATTCGACAAGCCATAGCCGACATACCGGCCGAAATGGTGCACCGCGTCATCGAAAATTGGCGTGAGCGGGTGACCGTCTGCAAAAAGAGCCGCGGCGGTCATTTGGCCGATATATTATTTAAAACATAAATGGCATAAAATTATCTATCAAATAAATCAATCGGATGCATTTTTCATAAAAAAATGTGTGTTTTATTCAATTTTAAACCAGGACGTTCTTATTGGTATACCCAATACTTTATTTATTTATTTACAACTTTTATGCACTTGTGTACATAGGCAGACTTAATGCCCTTTTTTTTTTTTTTTTTTTTTCCCGTGCGGAAATCCCCTCGGATACCACCTGTCGGTGGCATGTCGGACTCGAACCGACTAAAACCGCACGCCTTCGCCGGGTACTAATAGCCGGGGAACCAGGTATACCCTAGAAAGGAAGGCCCTGGTGCCCCGACATACCTCGGGTCATCTACAGACGAGTAGACGACCCCCGCCCCGTGTGGGAACCCCATGTTCCCTGTGCTCCCTGGAAGCGAGCGCGCTTCGCAACGCGCTCGCCGCCACCCCGGCCTGCTTCTGCTAGGGTGACAGATGGCCTCACCTGTCACCCCCAGGCCTGCGCTTATGGAGGACGGAGGTCGTTCTGCGACCTCCGGCGCCTGAGTCGCCTGCGCTGCCTGGCCCGTGCCCGGGCCTGGCGGGCCGGGAGTGTTCTAAACCTCTCCCGGTCCCGCTCCGCCGTCTCCTTCGCGAGCATAACTTGCTCGCAGAAGGAGACGGCAGAGTTCCACGCACTCTCGCTCCGCACGATAGCCGCAATCAGGCTATCGAGCGAGAGAACTCCCACTCCGATGGCCGCCACGAGGTCTCGCCTCTGCTCAGCCCACGCCGGGCACTCTGCCAGCGTGTGGAGAGCCGTGTCCACGGTCTGGCCATCGCAGTGGTGGCACTCAGACGTTGGCTCCTTGCGGATCAGACACAGGTGATCTCCGAAACATCCCTTCCCAGTGATCACCTGCGTCAATCGGTATGAGAGGGTCCCGTGACGCCTCTCGAGCAATGACGGCGTGCCCAGCGCTCGGTTGCCCGAGTCGTTCCCTCCACTCCCCTATGATGACCTGGCGGAGTTGGGATTTCCGGTCATCGATTTCTCGAATAGACTTAATGCCCTGGGCATTCTCTACCAGCCAACCTTTGGGTGGTGTAAAAATCTGGTGAGGTAGGTGCACTGAGGTTACAGTTGTAATCATAGTTGTAAAGTTTTGACTAATATATATGATGACACACATACATACATGCATACATATATATAATATACATGTTTAAAAACTTCACCCTTTTTTTTACACCCCTAAATTTTTACGGTGACCAACCATAGTATCTGCCAAGGCCGGGGGAAAGGCGCCCATCGCTCTAGTCGCAGTTTTGCCATCCCCTAAGATATGTGTCTGTGTTGCCACCTGTGAGTTTGAAAAAAAGGGCTAAACGGTGTCCGCGATATTTGAATAGCTCGAAAAAGACAGAGATTTTCCTAGGGGATATTGCTTACGTAACGAAAACCTATGGCCCCCACCGCCCCTGTGATCAGGCGTGGTATTTTGAAAACACCAGGTCACGTATTATAGGTAAGTTCAGAGGCCTGATAATGTCATTGTCTGAATATAACGTCTTCAACCGGAGGACTTGCATAATGATCCGCGACCTACTCCTCAAGGTGCTACAGTCTGAGTCTCGCTTCCTCATCGGATAAAAAATTTAAAAGACTTCAGGAAAGTTATGATGATGGTAACTGAGATACACCAATACTATTACTATTATGTACAGTATACCGTAATCACAAGAACGTAGTACAATCGATTTAGACCTTACGTTTACTGTGCTTGTTGTGTTTACTATTGCATCAAAAAGAATATTTTTAAAAAGAGTATGAGGTTACCGGAGCCCAACCCCCCCTGTCCCTGATTCTGGGGGGAGAGTTTAAAAGCACTTGTGCCTCTTGAGTTGAACGTGTCCATGGTACTTACCATCAGGTAAAATAGAATAAAAAAAGGATCTCGTGTCATAGGTCATCTTTCAGTAATTAAATTTTTCCAGGTAATGTTTGAGAAATACGAGTTCGACAGCGCATACATCGCTATCCAGGCTGTTCTCACGCTGTACGCCCAAGGACTTATCTCTGGAGTCGTTGTGGATTCAGGTATGGCTTCCAATTGATAGTAATTGTTATTTTAACCATGGTAGAATGACCACGGCTTCACAGAAAGCCTATGTTAAACAATTCTCTTGCGAAGGATTCCTGGACTTTACGGACATTCAAACAACAGACTCAACTAAAATCCAGATATAGACATATATTTATTGCATAAAACTGTGTATACATAAAGAGACCTCAGACAACTATTTGTGGGTTTTACACACGGTTAGGTTCACATAACATCTCATCAACAGCCTTTAATAGTCCACTGCATGACATTGGCCTTCCTCAGAAATGTGGTTATGGCCTAGTATATATATACAGGGTTTGTATCAAGTTTTCCTTCTTTTTACAGAGCTGTTGTCCTGCGTAGTTTAGCTTTCTTAGTCGACTCTTACCACACCCGCGGGATGAATAGGGGTAATGATACTCAGTATTCTTAATTCGTCACCACACGGTTGCCATTGTGTGTTGATCTATGACTTTTGAGTCTTAGACGATTTCTTTTTTTGTTAAATATATGACTTTGAGTTTATCGTGCTGTGGTAGATAGGCGATCACATTCACATCATCACATCAACAGCCTGTAATAGTCCACTGTTGAACATAGGCCTCTCCTTAGAAAGGAGGTTTTGGCCTACTATACCACGCTGGCCAGACGGGTTGGTATAGGGTTTGGGATGAATTGGGGTAGTGACATTCCGTATTCTTTACATTAGCCATTGCGATATCCGAACTGATTTTAATTTGCTTAATCTATATTTTTTCTTTTCAACTTCTACTCAGAATCTCTATTAATAAAAAAGCGGGAAGGCCTAATAAAAAAAATATTGCAGTTTGATAACAATAAAATCTCCTTTAAGCTCAAGGTTACAAATAAAACTAAGAATGTGCTGTCTTCAGGTGATGGTGTCACCCATATCTGCCCTGTGTACGAGGAGTTTTCACTTCCACATCTTACCAGAAGGCTGGACATCGCTGGCAGAGATATCACCAGATATCTTATTAAGGTACTTTTTCACATAATATATTATAATTGTTAAATAACAGTAATAACTCTTTTCCTCTTGCGAGCACACTCATATCCTTCTGGTTGTTCCAGTTATTGCTCCTCCGAGGATATGCCTTCAACCACTCGGCAGACTTCGAGACAGTACGTATGATGAAAGAGAAGCTGTGCTACATTGGGTACAACATCGATCAGGAACAGAAACTGGCGTTGGAGACCACTGTGTTAGTTGAACCTTATGTGGTATGTACCTTTTATATACTAGTTGATGTCCAAATTTGAACGTATTTTATTTCTTTATTTTGAATTGAGATCAAATAAGGAGGAGATTCTCAACTGTATTTTTTATGTTTGTTAACTCAGAATTCCTTTATGTATGAACTGTTTTGGGTATTCTTTTATGGGAGAGAATGCTTAATGTTTGATCCGAAGAGAAAATATCACCCCTAGAGGTTAAAAATTGAGTAAGAAGAGTACAGATTTAATAACTTTTTGCAGCTCCCAGACGGTCGAGTGATCAAAGTGGGTGGTGAGAGGTTCGAAGCGCCAGAGGCGTTGTTCCAGCCTCATCTAATTAACGTCGAAGGTCAGGGCATCGCAGAGCTCGTCTTCAATACCATACAGGTAATATTAACATGCAAATGGCCTCTCTTTTACTGTTACTAAGAATGAGTAAAATCAAAATACTTCGCAGACTTAGGTAGCGTATTGTGTACCTGTGTATGTATACCACTCGGAAAATTTATTTATTACGGCTTAAGAATATGGAGTGTCAGCACCCCTATTCATCCCGTGGGTGTCGTAAGAGACGACTCAGGGAGCAAACTACGCAGAACAACAGCACTGCAAAGAGAAAGAAAACTTGAAACAAACCCTGTACCACAACCCGTCTGGCCACCGTGGTATAGTAGGCCAAAACCTCCTTTCTAAGGAGAGGCCTATGTCCAGCAGTGGACTGTTAAAGGCTGTTGAAGATGATGATGATGTTGTATGTATGTATACGACCTTCAAATAAGGTGACAAGTGTATTGGCATCCTGTGTCAACATGGCATATTGGAAATTAAAGTTCAGAATATTGGTACTATAAGATAGGACGGAATGCCAATGGAAGGAAGTGAGAGTGAGAAGAACGCTACACTTCTTATAAATGTAAACATTAAGTATTTCAAACATGATATGTTTCCGTACGCCATATTTGTTTAACAAAATATTTGCTAAAAAGACAAATAAAAACCCGCAAATTATACTTGCCCACAATCACCTACACAATTAAGACGAATCAAACGACACTACCCAAGCTGAAAAGCAATCAAGCTTGAAAAACATAACCTTCCTTCTGGCGAAGTCGGGTAAAAGAGAGTTCAAAGAAATTACCTTTATATTTAATATAAGTCTCAATCTTCAATTACATTAAATCAATACCTGTGTAGTGTGTTAGGTAGGAGTAAAAATGTTCACATACCACAACTCCAAGAAAAGGTCCGGTACAGGTTACAAATGTTTTCATTTCACGAATCACACAAGGGCCGCGTAGGGTAATAGGACGCGTGTTAGATGTTTGTGTATGCTTAATATATTAAATATAAATATTATATGTATTATTATATTATTGTGAATAAGTGTGAATGATGTTTGTATATATGTGGTGTGCATTGCCCAATCCTTTACTTTTATAAGACAGTTTAGTTTATTCCTAACACAGGCTGCCGACATAGATATGCGTAACGAGCTCTACAAACACATAGTGCTGTCTGGAGGCTCCACCATGTACCCTGGACTACCCTCCCGCCTCGAGAGGGAGATCAAACAGCTGTACCTTGAAAGAGTGCTCAAGAATGATTCTGAAAAACTTGCGGTAAGTGGAAAACCTATCCAGTTTGTGACAAAGAGCTGATCTTAAGACATTAATTGTTATTAAAAAGTGGTAGGAAAGTTGCTTTTAACCTAATTCACATCAAAATATATGTTAAAATAATAAACTATAACTTCAGACATCTAACACACGGCGGTGTGTTCCTAAACTAGACAGGGCCTGTGTTATCTTAACCAGACTGCTGATTTACATACTTGAATATTTCTGATAAATTTGCTTGGGATTGATGCTAATCACTCCCACATTTACGTTCCTATCATTGTTGTTATATTTGAAAGTGATGGACATTTAATGTTTGTTGTATTTTGACGACTGGATTGCGTAGTGTTTGTGTAACGGACTGCTATTCCAAAGGTCGCGGGTTCGATTCCCGCTCAAGTCAAACATTTGTGTGCATGAACGTTTGATTTGGTCTGGGTGTTTCTATGTATAATATGTATGTATTTACAAAAAAAAAGTATATATGTATTTATATCAGTTGTCTAGTACCCATAGTACAAGCTCTGCTTAGTTTGGGACTAGATGGCGTTGTGTGTATGTGGTAGAATATATTATATTACATTATTATTATTTGGTATTTTGTTTGTTTTCAATTTATAGTATTTTCTGTTTGTGTATGTAAATGTGAGTATAGTGTAGGCTTGTAATGTTTTTTTCTGATGGTTTTCAGTGTTATAGGAATACGAAGTATCACCACCTTTATTCAGTGTCGTAAGAGCCGACTAAGGGAGCAAAGCGCAGAATAACAGCACTGCAAAGAGAAGGAAAACTTGACAATAACCCTTTATCAACCTGTCTGGCCAGCATGGTGTAGTAGACCAAAACCTCCTTTCTAAGGAGAGGCCTATGTCTAGCAGTGGACTATCAAAGGCTGGATGTAAACTGTAGCATGACTCTGATGAATAGAGTCCAGCCAGCCAGCAGTCCAGAGCAGAAACTTGATAGTGGCGCCCCTCTCCAGCGTTTGAGATAAATTACTTAAAAAACTCTCAAATATATAAGTTTACTTGTAGTGTGGGCCTGTGTGGCGCCTTTTTCTTACAAGTCGACGATGAACCAACCAGACTTAGGCGCTTTGTGAAGCAAGTTTTTTATTTTTAATCATACTATATTATGATTTTGGGACCCCCTGAAACTGTGTGTGCGGCGGGTGCCCCGGTAGTCTGATTAAGTACCTCTTGTAACGATTGAATATCTCTATATTTCTGTAAAATATTTTAGGAATATTAATTAATAGTTGATGTTTATATTTAAGGTATTAAGTGACCTTTGTGTTTGTTCTCAGAAATTCAAGATACGCGTCGAGGACCCTCCGCGCCGTAAAGACATGGTGTTCATCGGTGGTGCTGTGCTGGCCGAGGTGTGCAAGAACAGGGACAACTTCTGGCTCTCCAAACAAGAATATCAGGAACAGGTAAAGATGATAACTTCATTAGACTATATGTTCTAATATGTTTAGCTTAGACATATCCAAAAAGACAGCCCCAGAAAATATAATAATAATAATGTAACACATCTCACACACGGCCGTCTGATCTCAAATTAGGCAGAGCCTGTACTATGGGGACCAGATTACTTACAAACATATTTAAATATTTCTAAATACATAAATATTATGGATAAATTACACCCAGACACAGAACAAATGACTGCTCATCACACAATAATTTGTGTTGTATGGAAATCGAACCCACGACCTCCGGCTTAGCTTAGGTCACTAACCACTGGACCAACAGGCCCGTCAAAATCGGATCAGTAAAAAATTGACAGAATTTTGTGATTGTGATAACTTAATTTATTTTTCAATTCCCAGGGTCTGTCCTGCCTGAGGAAGCTGGGAGCCCGCGCCAGTTAATGACTGAATTGTTTACTTAATTATCATTAATAAATATATTAATGTATGCAGACGGTTCCATTATAGAAGAATACCGAAGAACGGACGAGATTAATAATCATTCTTATTTAGCTGTTCTATACTTTATGTTAATATTAATTTATCTTCTGAACATTGTCTTCTGGTTCATTTAATGCATTTAATACAATTAAGTAAATGAAAATGTAAATTAATGTTCGACCTCTTCTGGAATTTGAGAAGATCCAGACTAAATAATTGTATAGTTTGATTATAGAACTGATAGTATTATATAGAGGAAAATCTAATTCTTTAAAGTCGTCAATCCATGTGATGTACTTCTGATTTAAAATGGAAGCGGAAAATAATTAGGAAATAAAAAACCTTGAAATGTATAACTAACACATGTCGATATAAAGTCGTAATGTTAATGTTGTGGTGTCAAACCACAGTTATTCATTTCTGGTATACATAGTGGTATCTGGTATACATATATTGTCACTAATCTTCTATAACCGTCAGTAAAATATAACTATTCCGTTACTTTATATTAAAAGAGTAAATTAAGATTAAAATAGTAATGTAAACAAATGATTTTATTAAATTTATTATTGATAAAATGTATAAAGACTTCATATGAATCTACCCACATTTTATTCCGAAATTTTTATTCCCGTAACAGCTATCAACAGCCTGAGCACGGCCGAATAACAGGTATGCATCCCAATCCATCCGTATCACACTAATATTGTAAACTTTGTGAGTGCGTGTGTTTGTTACTTCTTCACACCCAAGCGGTTATACCAATGTTGATTAAATTTGATACCCTGGATTACGACTTAGGCAACCTTTTAAACCGAAAAAATGTATTGTTCAGGGATGAGCAAGGAATTGAAATATATATATATATATATATATATATATATTTAAGTGTATATGATAAACCCTGGGGGCGTAGCTAGTAAACAAGATTCCTTTCCTGCCATTTCGTTACGTTACGTAAATTTTATCTCACAATAAACGCCCAATTTGATCACTTACTGCCTGGTCACGTCGTTTAATATATTTCTTCTATGTGTTTCTGTTCATCTAATATTTAAGCCTGACCCGGTGCCCGAAGCACGGGTGATTTGTGGTTCATCATAATTATCATCAATTTGAGATCACACCCGCACTAGATGCAAGTTCTTTATCGCTGGGATATTACAAATATTCAAACAACAGACACCGGAAATATTAGACTTGGGAAAAATATTTGTGTATCTAATAATCACACAGTTATCTATATTGTTACTGTCCCCAGTAAGTCGATTCGATACACCTTCGCTCTGATTATTCAATTACAACCAAAGAGGTCTCATATATAACTGTTTATTGACTGATCGCACGTGGTGGAAACTTCATCAACAGCCTTTAATAGTCCACTGCTGAACATAAGCCTCTCCTTAGAAAGGAGGTTTTGGCCTACTACACCACGCTGGCCAGCCAGACGGGTTGCTATAGGGTTTGTGTCAAGTTCGGCTAGTGGCAGACTATTTAGAGGAGCGTACCGTCGTGTACGAGGATCGAGAGGTAAATTTGAGGTGTCGGCCCATGTCGTGCGGTGTTCCACAGGGGTCTGTTCTTGGACCCCTCTTGTGGAACATAGGGTACGACTGGGCCCTTCGCGCCGATTTCCCTCCCGGGCTGGGTGTAATCTGTTACGCAGACGATACCCTGGTGACAGCCCGGGGGGCAAACTTCCAAGAGGCGGCGCGCCTGGCCACAGGGGGAGTCTCCCTGGTGGTCGGGCGCATTGAGGCGCTGGGCTTACGGGTGGCCCCAGATAAGACGGAGGCCCTGTTATTTCATGGGCCCCGTCGTGGTCCACCCCCTGGCGCCTCAATCGTGGTCAACTCGGTCCTCGCACCGGTTCGGGCCCAGATGAAATACCTGGGCCTGATCCTCGACGGGAGATGGCTCTTCGACGAGCACTTCCGACAGCTTGCTCCAAAGCTGGTCGGCGCTGCGTCTGCCCTAGGGCGACTTTTGCCCAATTTGGGTGGACCCAGCGTCGCGACAAGACGGCTGTACACGGGGGTTGTCCGGTCAATGGCACTGTACGGTGCACCGGTGTGGGCGGCGGCTCTGACCGCCCAGAATAGGGCACGCCTCTGGCGCCCTCAGAGGGTAATGGCGGTCAGAGCCATACGCGGTTACCGCACCGTTTCGACGGAGGTGGCATGCGCGTTGGCCGGAACTCCCCCGTGGGATTTGGAGGCGGAAGTGCTCGCCGAAGTTTATCGGCGAGTGGCTGACTCCCGTGCGGAGAGCGGATTTCGCCCTCCGCCCGAGGATGTGCGCGAGTGGCGCGAAGCCGCTCGCCGAGCCACGATGGCTCGGTGGTCGTTCCGGCTGGAGACTCCACGCGCTGGCTTCGCCGCCGTGGAGGCTCTCCAGCCGGTCATCACCGAGTGGGCAGGGCGGCAGCACGGGACTCTTTCCTTCCGGCTGACGCAGGTGCTTTCCGGGCACGGTTGCTTCGGAAAGTACCTGCACTCGATCGCTAGGAGGGAACTGAGTCCCGCCTGCCACCACTGCGACTGCAGTGAGGACTCGGCCCAGCACACGCTGGCGGTCTGCCCCGCATGGGCGGCGCAGCGCCGGGCCCTCACTGCAGTCATCGGAGTGGATCTCTCGCTACCGACCGTAGTACGCTCCATGGCCGGTAGCGACAGTTGTTTTACCGCGGTCGCAACCTTCTGCGAGGAAGTAATCTCGCGGAAGGAGGCGGCGGAGAGGGCCCGGGAGGACGACCTCCACTCGGACCCGATCCGCCGCCGGCGAACCGGGCGGCGGAGGCGCGCCTATCACCGCCTCATGCCGCCCTGAGTGTGGCCGCGGGTGGACGGGGTGGGTTTCCCCTCCACCCGCATTAGTTTGGCCAGCCGCGAGGGGGCGGCGTCCGCGTGTGCCGGACGTCGCCTAAAGAGAGGAAAAAAAAATTTTGAGACGGAGCCCGCACCAGGAGCGGGCTGGCGCTAGGAGGGGTCCGGATGTCTTAATAACAGCTGTTCCCGGATCCCTCCTGTTACAGGCGCAGAGTGGCACACCGTGTGGTTTTAGTCGGTCCGAGTCCGACACACCACCCCGCCGCAAACCCCGGAGGGGTGACGGTCCGAGGGGATTTCCACACGTTAAAAAAAAAAAAAAAAGTTTGTGTCAAGTTTTCCTTCTCTCTGCAGTGCGGTGGAAACTTGGTGGTTAAATATTGTGGAACAGTAGACGTGACTTATTTCAATAGGTCTGATGTATAATTATTCCACATATTATCTAAAGGGACTTGAACAGGTATTCAAATAAAAAACCTACTAAATTATAATTATGTTTATTTAAAAACCGTAAATGCAAAATTTTCATTCATTTACAAATTACACATAATCTCACTGTACCACATAAATATATATATTTCGAATTTAAATTTATATATTTATCAGCTGAGTGATGTACGTTAGGCCTATAAATAATTATCTTAAATAAAATACGTACACAGTAAAGCTAGATTTTGTTAAAAAATAATAATTAAAAAGTCAGTCGATATCACATACGTATATGAAAAATTATTACTACAGTGGATAAATAAGCCTTCTTAAACACACTTAACTAATACGTTTAATATTAATTATAGTTATATTAAAGACAGTTTTACACACATGTATCAATAGATAATATAATATAATTTATCTCACATATCGCACACACGGCCGTCTGATCCCAAACTAGGCAGAGCCTGTACTATGGTAACCAGACTGCTGATAAACATACTTATATACTTTTAAATACATACATATTATAGATAAACTACACCCAGACACAGAACAAATGACCGTGCTCATCACACAATATTTGTCCTGGGTGGGAATCGAACCCACGACCTCTGGTTTAGCAGTCAGGGTCACTAACCACTAGACCAACAGGCCTGTCTACGTTCAAACAACTGATGCATCGTCAATATAATAAATATAACGCAATAACTAAGCAACATTCTAACTTTTTATGTCCTAGGGAGGGGGGGGGGGGAATACGAGCAGACGGATCCTCAGAAGGCCAATTTTCGTTATAAAAGTTCGGTTTTATGATGGCTAAGGGGCTTGTGGGTTTAGCTACCACCTAGCTTTTGTAAGCTTACATAAGGGATTTGTCTCCCCTGGATATACAAAAACAATATTCGTTCCACTCTAGGGGTCTATAATAAATCACTGGTGCATACCAAATATAATAACCAAAAGGTGCATTGTATCGTTCAATGCCTTTACTAAAGTCATGGACCTTTCTCGAACAAACGCTTTCAGCTTAGTTGGAAACCAAAAGAAGTACTAAATTAGTTTTGAAGAGAGAGTATTTCACTAAATAAGGTATATTAAGTAATCTACAATCAAACATTCATACCTATCTACAAATATAATCTACGCTCAATAAAAAAAAATTCAAAAGGATTTTTTGAAAAAAATTATATTGCTCAGTCTAATGTGAGTTTACTTCACATCTACTAGATCGTCACCACCGAGTAGATTGAAACAAACTCACATAGGCCCTCTGTTCTGATTATGCTCATCTATTATTGCACTGTTCAAATGTTATTTTTTAATTCTCCGACAAATTTCATTGAGTTAGTTTTAAATAAAAATAAGTTTACAAAGAAGACATGAAGTCACTGAAATGCTTTGCACACAACAATTACAACCTAATCAAATACAAATTAAGCTTCAAAACTGATTAATTTAAAGAAACACTTAAGCTTTTACAATTGCCACGACATCAAAATTTAAAACGATATCATAGTAGCATCAATGTTACCGATACTTGACATACCGAAAAATTGAATTGAAAAATTTGATGATTTAAACATCGATATAGATTTATATAATAATCACAACATCGATACTAACTCAAAAAAGAAGAAGGCGGAAGAGAGTCCTTTAAAAGACGGTCCGTAGACACATACAAGCTGATAATAATATGTCTAAAATATGATTGTACACAATTCTGTGTGTGTAATTTTAATTAGTGTGTAAAGTACTGCTTTTTATTTCTTATGTTTTCTGTTTGGTACACACGATATTAAGGATATAAGGATATTAACTGAACCTTTCTGTTTTTATAATCTGTTTTTATAGTTGATAGCAAAAAATATGCATGCATACATTTCAAGTCTAAAAAAAGAAAACCGAATCGATCACAAGTAATTAACTCGATACTCGACTCGATCAGGCTTTAATTTCGCAAAAATCATAAAAGGCCTTTACATTTAAAAGTTTATATTATCATCTAAACACCTGGCACTAAGCATATACAAAATCTATTCAGTTTAACTGTAACTACATACTATATATTTAAAAAAAGCTACATTTATAATTAATACTATGACTAAAAAATACAGATTTAGCGCCTACTTATGCTAAAGAAAACTAAATCATTGATACACCTCCGAAAAAAAACATCTAGTCACCGTAGTCGCATATGATGTAAATTATTTGACATCTAGAAAAGCGCGGGAAGCGAGAAAACTCCCAAAGAAAAGTTAATATTGTTTTTTTACCTACAGATATAGCCACACTATAAATAAAAGTTAGGTATTGGCTAACTACTGTAGGTAGCTAAACAAAAAACTCGACACCCCGAATGTGGCAAATAATCGAATGCTCATTCACATTCTAAAAACCCCACGATGTATCATAGCTATATCTATATGTACTCGGTCATACAGCGCGTTCATTAACTATTTAGCTATTATTTAATGACAAACTAGCAAGAATCTAAAGATTACGTAAAAAAACATTTAACTTTATGCATTACAAACAAAATGTCGAGGAACCCAAATTTAAAAATGACAAATTGTATATTATTAACTAAATAAGCTGTCAAAACATTCATATTTACGAGTAAAACTATTTGATTATAAATAGTAGAAAAAAAAACTTATCAATAACTTTGCTTCAAGACTAAAAAAAAAAGTCTTTACTGAAGTACCTAAGCTATGAGATTTCTATTTATTTGAGATTAATAATACAATTATATACCTTAGTATATACGTTCGTTACTTACTTCTATAAATGCATTATCTGGTCACTGTTCGTTCCAAAATGTACAAAATTAAATTAAATATATAATAAAGCCGATTGAGTAATAATTATTAAAATATATTTGTGGTTTGTTGTCAGTTCTACGATTCTAAAGATAGTTTTTGGCAACACTTTTACAAAATTTGCAAGTCTTGCAACACTACGTTTCACAGTTGCGAGTTGTCAGCCTTTGCAGCTTTATCATTGAAATTGACATGATTTTTAAATGTTGTTGAAGATACTTGCCGACGGAGAAACAAATATTGGTATTCCAATAAAAAATTAACAATTGATTACACTAAAAACTTATGTTAGGTCCGGGTTCAAATCAACTGGACTAAGTGAGATTTGAGCCATCCCGAACTAAATAATTGTCGGGATCTTATAGATTATTCTTTAAACCGCAGTGGGTTAAAGAGGTTTTAGTCTTTCTCTATTAAAGCAAAATAAATTTGAGGTGGGACTTCTTCAAATTAGTTTTCTATTTAAATATTAAATCAAAATTTAATTAATTCAATTCAATTAAAAATACTATAGGTATGCTGAAAGTGTCAGATTTAGGCAGTTTTGAAGTTGCCTGTTATACGTAGATTCTATGGTGAATAGACAAGAAACTATGAGAATTACAAAGCGAGTTTTTACATTGAAAGCTTTATAAAACGCGTCTTACACGAAGACATTTTAACTCTTTTTTTTTTAATTTAAATTACTTCACACAATACAGATCGTTTCTTTTCATGAAATAGCGTATGACGTCACAATATGGCCGCTCAACTTATATCCTAAGTATTCGATTCAATCAGGACGTTTTAAATATCAATTTCGGACGACATTTTAATTATAAAATATACGGCTAATTACGTTAAATTCAGTCTTAATTACTAAATTTATTTACAAATGGCAGTATTGTTTAGCTTTTGTCATTTTTTTATAAATACAAGCCTTCCGGCTAGACAAACTTTGGAATAGATAATGGGAAAATAGATGACAGAGGTATTTATATGAAGTTTTGATTTTATTTAGATATCAAGAATAATTTATTAAAAAAAAAACAGGTATACATTAACTTTAATAACAGAGGTATATAACCATATATTTGATTTAAAAACCATCTAAATCTCTCATTATCTTATTCCAAAATCCACTAAAATTACTTATTATTAACTAAACTACGACTACAATCCAATAATAAATGCATCAAAATGGCTACATACATATTTACTATACTCATATCTAATATTAAATGACTTAATAAATTTCAATGTCACTGACGGCCATAGAATATAAGCATAGAATGAATAGGATCCCCAATCTTGCAATATAGGCAACGAGAGAGATCATCATCACATCAACAGCCTTTAACAGTTTACTGCTTGACATAAGCCTCTCCTTGGAAAGAGATGGATAATAGATAATATGCCTTTATATCTTTCTAGTCGAGCTCTGTGGTTGGCTTCGGAATTTGAGGGGTCACTAAGTAGCCAATCGCAGCTTAGCTAAACAGAAACAGGAAACTATCAGGCATCCATCTCTCTAGTTGCCTGTATCGCGTCAACTTACAGGCAGCTGTACCCGTGTTCTCTCTATGCTGACGGCACGCGCCAATTTTGACATGTCATCGCTCTAAACTTTACTTGTCTATTACTTAGAGGTCTATGGCCTCTATGGTGGCTGTATTTAAAGGTCGTGCAGCGTGCCAGTGATCTCGCGCGTTCGCGTCGGTCGCGCCGACTCGCGAGCTACTCGTCGAGCTACGAAAAACAGTGCAGCGTGACTAGCGATGATCGACTATTTGTGACCGATAAATAACAATTCACAATTTAGTTAGCTATTTGGGGATTATGGATATAGTATCAGAAATTATATTGTTGGAAAATTCTGTTTTACGGATTCGTGCTTCAAAAGGATGACAAGAAGGAGAAGATTTACCGCTGCTACAACTGCATCTATTAAGTCGCATGCATCCATATATATATTATGACACCTAAAAAGTTGTGCTGCGCAATCGCAATCCACCTCTGGCGGCAAAATTGGTCGCCAGTCGCGAGTTACGCTGCACTGAGTCGTTTAGTTCTACACGTTTTATCTAGTTGACGTTTGCACGCTGCACGAGCCATAATCTATTTCACCATCTGTTGTTCTTCATAGTCATTGCAAAGTCCCGAAACTGTGGATCGAATTATTTAGATACGACCAATTTTGTACATTACAAATTATTCCCTAAATCCACATTCAAACATTTTAGAATGATATTACAAAAGAGACTTTTTTCAAAACACTTGTTCTCAATTCAAAATTCAATTTTAATCTGTGTCATTTGGAGAAATGGCGGCGTCTTTTTAGACTGACATTTACATTCTGGAAACTTTTTTTTTTATGGCTCGGCACCATCCGTGCATTGGGCCAGTGTCAAGTATTTCTGGAAACTTATTTAAATATGAAAGATACTAAAGTAATCAATGTTAAACTGTTGTTACAACTTAAAACGTGTGTGGCTAACAGTAGTTGCAAATGATGTGTAACATCTGTCATTTCACCAATCCTCTGACAGCTGTGGCACCGCATGAGCTTCTTGGTCAAATCATATTTAATTCGATCAATAAGAATCCGAGGGCATTGGAGGGGGTGGGGGGAGTTTGACATCAAACCTATCCTCTGGCGGCCAACTCTAGCACCGCACGCGCTTATTAGTCAAATCATATTTGATTCGACCAATAAGCGCTGTAGACGCTGAAGGGGGCGGAGTTTGATAGCTAACTCTGCTTTGACGGCCAACTCTTGCACCGCACGCGCTTATTGGTCAATTCATATTTGATTCTACCAAAAAGCGGGGGGGTCGCTTAAGGGGGGGGCAGACATCCAACCTATTTTCTGTCGGTCAACTCTAGCACAGCGCAAGTTTATCGGTCAAATCATATTTGATTAGACCAATAAGCACAAGGAACGCTGGAAAGAGACTTTTAAAGACTGTTGATGAAAGAAAAAACGTTACACATCAAAAAGAACTAAAATATTAACCGCCGAAATTACTGATAGTCTTTTTTGAATCCCAAGAATGTTCTTACATGTAAATTACGTAGTTGTTTCATTGTTCGGTTTTATCTTGCGATTTTTGGGAGGTGTTCTCCGAAGTGAGATCTTGCAGCAGAGCTGTGATTTCTTCGTAGATTTCCGTGAACTGTGGCCGGTCGGCAGGAGATTTATTCCAGCATCGTTTCTTTAATAAAAAAAGGTACTATTAAAGAAAATGAAGAAAATTCGTATATTTATTACGGTTTTTAATAGATGCGAAATCAAAATTTTATTTTTTAAATTATTTTATACTTGAAAACATTTGGGGTAGTGATACAACAAACATTTACTTCAATTGGAACCGACCAAGGAAGTAACTGAAGTCTACAGAACATGTTCAGTTAAAGAGAGTTATTAATATAATATTGTCTGTTTACTGCGAAACCAGTCCTTTTAGAGGTTAGGTAAAATTTATATGTAAAACCTTCCCTAGGTTATATATGTTCACCTCGCAGGGGTCACCACTACTTATAGGCGTGGAGGGACACGTGTTATGCTATCAGCAGGTAAAAAGATCTTTTAACTGTCTAGTTAAAAGATCTTTCATAGTCTTATGATTATACCTGGGGTATTTATACACAACGATACAGCGCAAAAACTTACATTGCGCAATACAGACTCAGTAATTACTATGTAGTTCAACCAGTCTTCAATAGGTGGCGTTTTACTGTGTTTTGGCTCCCATCAAAGGATAAAGAGACTTTACTATAACAGTATACTTACAAGCAGTACACCCAGCTGTTCTGGCATCGAACTCGGTATCGTCCACTCTAGTGAATCGTTCTTCACTCGCTCCAGCACTGAGTTGTCGTTCAGCTTAGCGAAAGGAAGCTCCGCTTTTGTATATATCTGTAATTTTAAGTATAAGATGGTGAATTTACTAAGTGTGTCATCCTTTCAAGAAATAAGGATAACTTCCACATCCCACACACGGCTGTCTGATTCCAAACTAGACAGAGCCTGTGCTATGGTAACCAGACTGCCGATACACATACTTAAATATTTCTAAAAACATACATATTATTGATAAATTATCACTGCTCACCACACAATTATTAGTCCTGGCTGGGAAGCGAATCCAAAGTATTTATACGGAGTATGATATACAGGTATATACGACGACCAGATGGCGTAGTGGTTTGTGTAACGGACTGCCAATCCAAAGGTCGCGGGTTCAATTCCCGCTCAACTTTTGTGTGCATGAACACTTAATGTTTGATTTGGTCTGGGTGTTTCTATGTATAATATGTATGTATTTACAAAAAAAACTATATATGTATTTATATCAGTTGTCTAGCACCCATAGTACAAGCTCTGCTTAGTTTGGGACTAGATGGCGTTGTGTGAATGTGGGAAAAAAATTATTGTAAACATACCTCCCATACAGTAGCAGCAAACATGTAAACATCAGATTTGGTGGAATAATCACCCTCCAATATGGCTTCTGGAGGCAGCCAACGCAACGGGATGACCTAAACAAACAAACTGTTAATTAAACATACATATTAAGTTAAGCCTCTGGCGTTTTTGAGGGGATAGAACACATATCAACGTACATACATAATTTATTTCTTTATGTATATAATAACAGTGGCACTCGTAGTAACCGAGCAGGTTATCACATTGCAAAGTTAAGCAATGATTACTAGGTCAGTCTATGGATGGGTGACCATTCTGAACACATTGGCGACCTCTTCATGCTGTGAGCACGTTAAGGCATCGGTTCCGGTTACCATACGAACATCTGTGGCAATAGTTGGGAGCTCCAAAAAGTTCCACAACAGTCTTTTTACAGAACTTCGATATCGCCTAGTATTTGGTTTGTGGAGGAGGATGGCAGTCATTCCTCGTATAAAATCGAAGTTCAGTCAAGTCGTAGTAGATTGGAAACCGACCCTAATCTCGACAAAGGCTCGGAGGAGGCTGTATAAAATAACAAATAAAGGGGGATACCTGTTCGTGTAATTTGTAGTATTCATGAGAGTCAGGTCCCCTGGTCAGCGCAGGGAACGATAACTTCAGCTGCAACTTGGATGTGATCACGCAATTGCGGGCTGCTATGTCGCTGTAAGTAAATAATTCACTAATTAAAAAACTATTATTACACAATAGAGTTTACGATAAATAAATTCGGCAATGTCTTTTTTTAAAAAGTTCGACTCGATATCGGTGTAATACGAGTGGTACGGACCGGTGCGTGAGTCTCGCGGCGGCGAGGCGGCTGGCGGCGGCGGCGAGGTGCGCGCCCAGCACGGCGCGGTGCAGCGCGGCGAGGGGCGGCGCGGGGCGGGGGGCCGGCGCGTGCGCGTGCGCGGGGCCCACGCGCGACACGTACTCCGCGTTCTCCTCCTCCGAACGAGTCGCTATCAGGAACTTCTTCAAATCACCCTTAAAAAGAAAACGTTTCGGTTCTCTGTCAGCTTACAGCAGGAGATGCGACAAACTTTGTGTGTAGATCTCAAAAAAAAAACGATCTAATATATTAACCGGATCTGTATCCGCAACTAATCCCTTCAGACAATATTTAAATAAACGAAATCACTGTGAAGCCGTTATACCCTTATTCCGGACTTAACCCGACGATACGCTCTGGCGTCTTGGAAAAACTTTAAACTTTAAAAGCGTTGGAGCGAAAAGCCTCGAACGCTTTCAAATCATTTCTAACACCCCCTCTATTTCCTATTACCCTTTGAAAAAACTTGAACAAAACACAAAAATACTTTACAGGACTTTTTTTACCCGCAATCTCAAGAAGCCGTAATTCCTATCCTTTGTTGATCAAGATTAACAGTAGCCAGGTTACCAGAAATTTCTTCATTGACTTCTTAATTTAAAAAAAACTTTTTTAACTCCCGCATTAGGAATATATCCTGTGTCACAAGGGTCTTTACAAACATATATTAAACGGACACAAAGAACATTCAGACTCGGAACAACAATTTGTGAGTCACACAAAGTGTTGTCCCATGTGGGGATCGGACCCACAACACTTAGCGCAGTGGGAAGCGGCGAGGTGACAGCTTAATCCACTACGCCACCCGTGCAGTCGCTAACTATTGCAAAGGAACTATTAAAAAAGAAACCCCTGAAAGCCACTGTTCTTGCCAGATAAAACTACAGTTAGAGCCGAATAGAACATGCTGATGATAGCCATCACTTTAAAAAAATCCAGGGACTGATAACCCTGTCAACCCTTCTCCATTATCTTCCTTTAGCATTCTGGTTTAATAAACCCAAACGCCGGGTCTCGGGCGGCGGTTAAATAACCCGACAATACTGGCCTAACCAGTCAGACAACAGTGGGTGTTAGGAAATGAATACTCACGCCCGCAACCGCTACTCAGCGATCGGGAGTCTTGGCTTAATTGCCCGGGCTGAGAGGAAGAAAACCTCTATAAAACAATCACCCCAATTCCACGGTGGGACACGTGCCAATGGAATGCATGACTGGTGGGAGATCAGTATCGAGCGCCAACCTCGGCGGACATGGCAAACGTCGTTGAAGATCGCCTTCTTGGAGGAATGGGCGTCACCCTTCAAGTGACCTTTTATATCGACCCTACTCGTGGGAACAAAATGAGCATGAATAATGAAAAAGAAAACCAAAACAAGCCAAAGATGACACAACAAGTACTCCAAAAAAGCATGTTTGCACGTGTAAGGAGCCCCTCACTTGGAACTCTACCAATTGAAACACCAAATCAAACAATTCCAAAAGATAAGGTGCAAGAGGAATCGAATACATCTGATACGAATGATGCACAAGCTAAAACAAATCAACCATGGCAAAACGATCAGGTGCCTATGAAAAGGAAAGCGGAATCTAGTCCTGAACGGACAAAGAATAATACTAAAGTAAATAAGACAACATATGCAGTAACAACAGAAAACAGATTCCAAATCTTAGAGTCAGCAACACACGACGAACCCAGTCAACAACCTAAGGAGCCTAAACCACCAAAGCCAGAACCCATATTTGTCACGGGAGTTATAGACATAACGACATTAAAGAAAATCCTCTCCTCAATTGTAAATACCGACAAATATACTATGACAACTCTGAGGTCAGGACACATAGTTAAAATAATGCCTGGTGACGTAGACACGTATAAAAACATAAGAGCTAACTTTATAGAAAATAACGTTAGTCATTACACATACAAACTTAAAAGCGAAAGAGCCTACAGAGTAGTATTACGTGGTCTTCACTCATCAGAAGACACAGAACTAATTAAAAAAGAGCTCTTGGAACTTGGGCATGAAGTACGGCACATCAAAAATGTACAACACAAAAACACAAAACAACCGCTACCCTTATTCTATGTAGACCTTGAGCCTAAACACAACAACAAAGAAATTTTTAAAATCAACAGCGTGAATTACGTAAAAGTCTCATTTGAAGCACCATACAAAAAGCTAGACATTTTGCAATGTAAAAGATGTCAAAGATTTGGACATGCAAAAAACCAGTGCAACAGACCATTCAGATGTGTAAAATGCGGAGAAGAACACTCAACAACAAGCTGTTTAAAAAGACCGGACACCGAGGCAACTTGTGCCAACTGCCAAGAAAAACATCCAGCAAGTTACAAAGGCTGCATAAAGTACAAACAATACAAAGACTTACTTTCGAAAAACAAGACAGGAAAGGGCAAAGAAAGAAATGGGAACACAAACAACATAACGCAAAATCAATACCGCAAAAACCCGACACAAACTGTACAAGAAAACCACCAAACTAAGAACTACAATCTCTTCAATCACTCGAAACCAAATATCACATATGCACAAGTGACAAAACAAGAAAACACAACGGGATTAATAACCGATATCAAGAACCCAAATAATTTCGGGGAAGTTCTAGACGCCATGTTCAACAAATTTCAAAACATAATAAATATTATGTTAGACAACATGATGGATCGTATGATCCAATTATTCACAAGCCTTATAAAGCACCCCTAAACCTCAGAATAATCACCTGGAATGCCAACGGGCTGACAGAACGTCGCCAGGAACTTGAACTCTTCTTGAAACTTGAAAGAGTGGACGTGGCTTTAATCTCAGAAACAAGATTCACACCAAAAACTCATTTCCAACTTAAAAATTACATGGTGTATACTACAAACCACCCTTCTGGTAATTCACATGGAGGAACCGCAATCATAATAAAAGAAAACATCAAACATTATCTTTCTGGGGCAACCAAAACAGAAAAGATACAAGCAACTTCAGTCAGGATTCAGGATAATAAAACAGAAACAACAGTGTCTGCAATTTACTGCCCACCTAGGCATGTCATTACAAGAGATGAGTTCAAGACCTACTTCAACACACTAGGAAACAGATTTATTTGCGGTGGCGATTGGAACGCAAAACACGCTTTCTGGGGCTCGAGACTAACCTCGCCACGGGGACGACAACTTTATGTGGCTACGATCGACCTCAACCTTCATTGCGCTTCGCATGGTGTTCCTACATACTGGCCTACGGACCCACAAAAGGTACCAGACCTATTGGACTTTTTCATAACCAAAAATATCCCGCTCAGACAAATGAACGTAGAAGAATGTACTGACCTGTCGTCAGACCATACACCAGTAATTGTCAATGTTCACTGTAAGGCTATCATAGTTGAGTATCAACAAAGACTGTATAACCGGACAACAGACTGGGACAGATACAGAACTAAAATCTCAGAATCCATTAACTTGAACTTGCCACTTAATAATGTAGATAGAGTTGAAACAGCTATCGAAACTCTCAGTAAGCTTATTCACTTAGCGGCGAAAGAATCTACGTCTTATCTAAGACCGAAAACAACACAAATTGCTCACTACCCCAAACTAATAAAGGACAAAGTAAATGAAAGAAGGCTGCTGCGGAAAAAATGGCACTCTACGAAATATCCCAGTGACAAAAAAGCTTTCAACAGGGCTTCTGAGGAACTTAAGCACATGATCTGTCAAGCAGAAAACGAGCGTTTACAAAAACAATTAGCTGACCTTACTCCTTCTATAGACACCAACTACTCTCTATGGAAGATAACAAAAAGGCTAAAACGACCGAAGGAACACATACCACCCATAAAAGCTCCTGATGGCAAGTGGGCAAAAACAGAACTTGAAAAGGCCCAAGTATACGCGGAATACCTAAAAACTATCTTCAGACCCTTACCAAGCAAGGATCCTGAACACGTCAAGGAAGTCACCGAATATCTGGACGCACCTTTGCAAATGAGTCTACCACTAAAAAGTGCTAGCCCCAACGAACTACGGAAAGAAATCCTACAACTACAGAAGGGTAAAACGCCTGGCTACGATTTAATCGACGCAGAGCTACTCAAGCAGCTGCCTGGAAAGGGCATAATTCACATTGCAGCCATCTATAATGCTTGCCTAAGACTAGCAATTTACCCCGCCCAGTGGAAAATTGCGCAGGTTATAATGATACCCAAACCAGGAAAACCGCCCCATGATGTAAGCTCCTACAGACCAATAAGCCTACTCCCTGTTTTGGGTAAACTCTTCGAAAAAATACTACTGAACAGGATGCGCCCCTATTTACCAGAAATTATTCCTCCTCACCAGTTTGGCTTCCGAGAGCAACATGGAACTATCGAACAGATCCACCGTATTACGGATACAATAAGTCGTGCACTAGAATGCAAACAGTTCTGCTCTGCGGTCTTTCTTGATATTAGTCAGGCGTTCGACAGAGTGTGGCATGAAGGACTTCTCTTCAAAATTAAAAAGCTGCTCCCTCACTCCTTCTTTCCGATTCTACGATCGTACCTACACAGTAGATGCTTTGAGGTGAAATTTAACAACGAAGTTACGCCTTTAAACGAAATTCTCTCAGGAGTACCACAGGGAAGTATATTGGGACCCATCCTGTATTTGCTTTTTACCGCAGACCTTCCAATGCACGTTGATACTGTGACTGCCACGTATGCGGATGATACAGCCCTTTTGTCGGTACACGTGGATCCCGCTATAGCATCGGCCAACATACAAACCCACATCCATGAAGTGGAAAAGTGGCTAGATAAATGGCGTATTAGGGTTAATCAAGGAAAATCTGTCCATGTGACCTTCACCTTGAGAAGGCAGACTTGTCCCCCAATAAGGCTTTATAATGAAGAAATTCCTCAAGCTGAAGATGCCAGATATTTGGGTATGCATCTGGATCGAAGACTCACCTGGAGAAAGCATATCTGGACCAAGCGTAAACAGCTGGATACGAAAGTCAGATCCATGTACTGGCTGATAGGACGCAAATCAAGCTTCTCGCATGAAAGCAAGATAGCTATTTACAAGACCATCCTTAAACCAATCTGGACTTACGGGATCCAGCTGTGGGGTACTGCTAGCAATAGCAACATAGAGATTCTTGAAAGATTTCAAAGCAAGACTTTGAGAGCCATGCTGGATATACCCTACTATGTGAGCAACAAATATATACACGAGGACCTAAAGATCACTACCGTCAAACAAGAGATCGCTAGATATAGTGAAAACTATCAGACGAGAATATCAACTCACGTCAACGAATTAGCATCCAAACTGGAAGGCAAAGGGAGTATTGTATATTCCCGATTGAAACGGCATAGTGTCCCTACACTAACCGTGAGATTTGGTGACACCAGATGAAACGTACTCTTATGAATACCTTCTGCTAAAATACATAGATCAAGATACCTCATCTGAATGGCTTATTGTGTTAACACAGATTGCCAAGTTACAGAATTCAAAAAAAAAAAAAAAAAAAAAAAAAAATAAACCCAAAATATGCAAAGATGGACAAAAATACCCAAAGCTGCAATATCTACCATAACATGCCCCACTAGCGAAGTACGTTCTAAGTCGTATCCTAACCAGTATTTAAGATTATTTTATCCTTCAATTAGGTATGTACCACAATGCCTTTTTTTTTAACCGACTTCAAAAAAAGGAGGAGGTTCTCAATTCGACTTTTTTTTTTTTTTTTTTTTTGTATATTTGTTACACGATTACTCCGGCAATTATAAACCGATTTGAATAATTCTTTTTTTATTTGGTAGGTCATACGTCAGAGGTGGTCCCATTGTCACCAGGTCAGGATCTGATGATGGAATCCTGCGGAAATCGAGGGAAACCCCTCAAATTTTGTAGGCATATACACTGTTTATCAGAAATTATCTTAATCTATGAAGATTTTGCATCTAATGGTCACCATCTGATGTTGCTGAGCTGATGATGAAGCTGATGATGAATGGTTTAGGAGTATGGGATCTCTGTAACAAAATTATGTAATACCATCGAATTTGAATGTGTTTGAGTCTAATTAATAAGGACTCCGATCCTATGTGATATTCAGGGTCTGATGATGGAGACGGTAAATAGCCATGGGAACTCTGTAATAAAATAAAGCAATTCCGCCGTGTTTGTGCTCATTTGATTCGTCTCGACTAGGAGCTTCATGCTAGTCGATTTTTAACCAACATCAAAAAAGGAGGGTTTTTGATACGACAGTATGTTTTCTTTTTAACCGACTTCTAAAACACAAAAGAGGAGGTTCTCAATTCGTCTGTATTTTTTTTTTTTAATGTATGTTTGTTACGCGATTTCTCCGTCAATTGTGGACCGATTTTCAAAATTCTTTTTGTAATCGTAAGGGTATGCTCCCGAATTGGTCCCATTACTACCAATTCAGGATCTGATGATGGGATCCTAGAGAAATCGAGGGAAACCCTCACAATTATTGGGAATTTGACAGCCCCGATAACGTGTTTTAGCTACGAGTATTTCTTTAAAACCATGGCAACCGTCAGAGACTGCGCGATGTGATGCGCAGAGAACTTACAGTATTTATGTCACCACAGTAATTTTCGTTGTATTAATAAGAAGAAAAGGTTGAAATTTTGTATTTTATCTTGTTAAAATAATTCGGATAGACGTTTTGTTGCTATGGATGGCATCGCATTTCGTTTGTAAGTAATTTTATACTTAATTTATTAAAATAGTTCTGGAAAAAACTCTTAAATTTTGTGTGTCAACTAGGTTAATTTCTAACATACCAGTATTAACCCTTCTAGTTGGAACTCCTTCTATAAAATATTGAGCATATTTGTTGAGTAGTCTCACTAAAGCTTCCCTATCTTCACCTTCGAGGTCAGTGTCAATTGAATCGGAAGTTATTTTGTTCGGTTGCAACTCACAAGAATTTGACTGTTTCTTAGAAAAGAATTTAAGCTGATCTTGATCAGTTTGGACGCCAATGTAGGAGAGGCCTATGTCCAGCAGTAATTTAATATAATATTTAATATAATCTAACAAACTACAGTTTGTTACTATACATTACGGTACGTAGTGTTTTAAATATCGTACTTATCTACTCATTACAAACATATCCTACACTAAAAATGGTAAAATAAACCCTTTTAAAAAAAAAGTTGAACCGACTTCAAAAAACACCGACAAAGAGCACTAAAAATTAAAAAATAATTACAAATCTAAGTAAAAAACTATAATAAGTACCCTCAATGTAACAGGTAACATTACAATACCAATAGTCCCTTCTAGTCTGTTTGAAGTCGGTGCCAAGCTCGATGCACAATAAGTAATACTGGTCTATGTCAGCTTTATATTAGCACAATGAAAAATTAAGAATTCAAAATAATTCTAATGAAACATCGAAGATTTTGTTAATTAATAAAGACCAACCAGATCAATTACGTGCGCAAACGTATCAACTCCTTATTAAAGCATTCAAAATAATAATATAATTGGAGATGTGCGTCCACTTTAGCTCGTTCAACATGTTTTGCGCAGCATGAAGACTGTTGCAGCTGCCGCGCTACATTCTATCAAGCACCTATTTGGCTTGGCACCGACTTTAAACCGACTAGAAGGGACTATTGGTATTGTAATGTTACCTGTTACATTGAGGGTACTTATTATAGTTTTTTACTTAGATTTGTAATTATTTTTTAATTTTTAGTGCTCTTTGTCGGTGTTTTTTGAAGTCGGTTCAACTTTTTTTTTAAAAGGGTTTATTTTTTCACGTGTGGAAACCCCCTCGGGCCGTCACCCCACCGGGGTTTACGGCGGAGTGGTGTGTCGGAATCGGACTGACACACACGGTGTGCCACACTGCGCCTGTAATAGGAGGGATCCGGGAACTGCTGTTATTAGGACATCAGGACCCCTCCTAGCGCCTGCCCGCAACGGCGCGGGCACCACCTTCGGGTATATTCTCTATTTAGGAGACGTCCGGCACACGCGGACGTCGTCTCCTCGCGGCTGGCTGTTATGACGGGTGGAGGGGAAAACTCGTCCCGTTCACCCGCGACCACACTCAGGGCGGCATGAGGCGCTGGTAAGCGCGCCTCCGCCACCCGGTTCGTCAGCGGCGAATTGGGTCCGAGTGGAGATTATCCTCCTGGGCCCTCTCCGCCGCCTAATGCGATCGCGGTAAAACAACTATCACTACCGGCCATGGAGCATATGACGGCCAGTAGTGAGAGATCTCCCCCGATGACTGCAGTCAGGACCCGACGTTGCGACGCACAAGCCGGGCAAATTGCCAGCGTGTGCTGAGCCGAGTCCTCACTGCAATCGCAGTGGTGACAGGCAGGATTCAGTTTTCTCCTAGCGGTACTTCCCGAAGCAGCCGTGCCAGGAAAGGACCTGCGTTAGTCGGAAGGAAAAAGTCCAGTGATGCCGCCCTGCCCATTCAACGATGACCGGCTGGAGCGCCTCCACGGCGGCAATACCAGCACGTGGAGCCTCCAGCCTTGACGACCAACGAGCCATCGTGGCTGGACCAGCGGCTTCGCGCCACTCGCGTACTTCTTTGGGCGGGGGCCGCTAACCGCCCGGAACTCAGTCGTCCGCCGATTTACTTCGGCGAGCACTTCCGCCTCCAAATCCCACGGGGGAGTTCCGGCCAACGCGCACGCTGCCTCCGTCGACACGGTGCGGTAACCACGTATGGCTCTAACCGCCAATATCCTCTGAGGACGCCTAAGCCGTGATCTATTTTGGCTGGTCAGAGCCGCTGCTCACACCGGTGCGCCGTACAGTGCCATTGACCGGACAACCCCCGTGTACAGCCGTCTCGTTGCGACGCTGGGTCCACCCAGATTTGGCAAAAGTCGCCCAAGGGCAGACGCAGCGCCGACCAGCTTTGGAAGCCGGAAGTGCTCGTCGAAGAACCACCTCCCGTAGAGGATCAGGCCTAGATACTTCATCTGGGCCTGAACCGGTACGAGGACCGAGTTGACGACGTTTGAAGCACCAGGGGGAGGACCACGACGGGTCCCATGAAATAAGAGGGCCTCGGACTTGTCCAAGGCCATGTACCACAATGCCTATTGAAACCAACCCTGCAACTGCTGTGCCACCTGGGCACCTACAACTTACTCAACAGATTTTTTTTCTTCTTTTATTTAAACACAATGTGGAATATCATGTGGTTTCATGTTTTGCTAGTTCGATTTAAGCACACCGCCGCCCCACCGAAAAACCTCGGCTTGGCATAACAGCTAAAGAGGGTCTCGATATACACAAAAAAATGCTTTAACTTTCGATAAACGTTTCCACGTCAATTGGGAATTCCCCAAAATACACAGATAGTAAAAACCGTAAATAATTGTTATGTCCATCTTAGAATGAACCATAATGACAAATAACTTACCCAGTCAGTATGTTCAAGTAACATATAATGGGGCTCAGCCTCGTTGCACAGCCCGATCAGTCGAACGACGTTCTCGTGACGAACTCGGCTGAATATTTCCAACTGTCGGCGGAACTCAGCCAGTTGTACCTAAATAGAACCAGAAATAATTTTACATACAATCAGAGCATATTTAAGGGACTTACGAATGAATTCGGCAGTCTGATCCCAAACTAGGCAGAGTCTGTACTATAGTAACCAAACTGCTGATACCTATACTTTTAATACATACATACTTCAGATAAATTACACCCATAGATACATAACAAATAATCGTGCTCATCACACAATTATCTGTCCAGGGTGGGAATCGAACCCACGACCTCTATCTACCCTTTTACCCGTGGTCCCATCGCTACGCCTCATTACTGGGTTCACGGGTAATTTTTTCCCTGTAGTCTCACCACACTGAAGAAAACTCAAATTTGTTCTATCTCGCAGTTCTAGTGGAATCATGGGTAATAAAGTTCTGTGGACCCACTGGACTTGAGATATGGCTAGTGAATAAGGCGTTGTACTTGCGATCAAGGGCGTGGGTTCAAATCCTGACCAATACACTTCCGACGTAAACCCGCTCCTAACACAAGCAATTTAGCTTAACGGTTAACGGGAATACTAGTAATTTCGGTTGCTAGTAGACCTTTTCAAAAAAAAAAATCATAGCAGTCGGGATAAAAAAAAATTGGTTTACCCAATACCGTATAATATTATGTGAATTGAGCAACCTAAGTGCTGTCGTAACATTTTTTAATTTAAATCAAAGTCCCTTTCCGTCCGTCCTTTTCCTTTACCTCATCCTTAGTGGTCAGTGCTTTCACAAGCACAGGTCTGATCTTTGGTTCAGTTTCTCCATCATCTTTGTTACGTAGCTTAGTCACTTGTATCATGTCAATCTTTGCCAAAAGCACCTCCCCGAATTCACCACGACCTGAATAAAAAAAGAGTGGTATAAACACGTACGCACGCACGCATACAAACACAACGCACGCACACACACATTTAGATATTAAATTTTATTTAAACACAACAGTTTGTTTTTGTTATCCTACACAAATAAGGGTCAACAAATCGGAACAGTAACAGAATATTTCAATTTTAATATAATTAATTATGTAGTAAAAGTACATTCTATGGGTGATTTTCCTGAAATAAATAATTATTATTATAGGACCATAAACCCATAAAGAATCATCTATCAAATCTTTTCTCTATCTATTAGCCTATTGTAGCCACTGCTGGAGAAAGACCTCCCCATCCAGTCTATCCCAATCACTCAAATTTTCACAATCCATGCCGTTTCAAATCAACTCCGTACCTAATTAGTAAGAGGGAACCATTTCCAGTACCTGGGCTTTACTCCAAGCGTACTTCACAGTTACTTACCAAGCGTGATTTGTTCCGTGAGGAGTGTCCGCGGTACAGTCAAATGTTCGAACTGTCCTGACTTCTTTGAGGCACGAGATATGCCGGACACTTCTGAGTTGTCAGCACCTGTATACATTTTTTTTAGTTACACTATCTAGTTATGTTTTGGGATCAAGATATTCGTGACTGTATATATTTGTATACTATTTAAAGTTAAATTAGAAAAATTGTATACACTCCTTTTTTTTTATGAGTTCATTTTTATTTATCGTTTATAAAAAAAAGACTTACAATAATAGTAACTAAAAACCCACTAAAGTTTATACCTGTGTTTTCTTGAGTACAAATCAAAACTATAAGAATAATAAACAAATAAAAAAAAAACGAATAACGTGGTTGAACAAATGTTTGGAATGCATAATGTTTTTAAGTTACCCTAACTATATTTGTGTAAGAAATTGTTATGTTGGTATTTTGTTTAAATTGCTTTTTTCTGTATCACAGCTAAATCAATGAAACTGTAATTTGTTGTTTTCATGTAAGTGAATAGTTTATGTCATCCTTTGTGAGAAATAAACGATCTTAAACCTGATGTATGCTATTTTCTGCAAGTTTTTTTTGCATATTTTAAGAAACAAGTTTTTTTTTCTATGATAGAGGGACGAGCAGACGGGTTACCTGATGGATGAATAATTACCAGTTGAATTAAATAATTTATTAAAAAAATATCACTTCAATGCCTCTACATAATGATGAATTGTAATCTTTAGTTGGCGCTCAATGATAATAATTTGGAGTAAGTATTTTTTTTAAATTAGTGGTATGGAGTTCTTACCGCTGTCCTTTTCATGTGCAAGGAGTCTTCCATTCTGGAGTGCAGAACCGTTTGGTTTTGTCTTATCTTCTTCTCCTTCTTCTACCAATTTCTCTCGACCTTCTGTCATTTCTAGTTCCATCTTTTCGCCTGAAAAAGTATCATTGTATAGTTTTTTTTTGTTAATTTATGAGTGTTTTAGGTATGTATTAATAATTATATAAACAAATTAAGCCATTGTGCAGCTAAACATAATTACTTAAGATGCAGCAAATATTCGGCAACTATTCGGCGAATTTTTAGGTATTCGGTTGAATATTGTTAACTGTGATAATACTAACAATAAACAGGTAGGCCTGGTAAACAACAGCACAACAATTGATAATGAAAAATACACATGTATACTAATGAAATTGATAACTTTTCCTGCGCCAAACAGTATTTCCCATGTAGTTCGGCTTAACTTCGATAGATGGCGTTGTTTGCTATTTTTCTATATATATTTAAGACTGATATTTAAGAATACTCTTAAGAAATACTAACTCATTGTTTTTTTTCTAAGTAAATATTTCTATGTAACTATTGTCTGACCTCTTTGTCGCCTTCTCAACCTTCTCCTTCTGCAGTACACCATCAGCGCCAACACCAGTACCATATAAGCACCAGCCACTGATATAGATACCACAACAGCTTTGCCCGCCACCCCACTAGACTCAGCAGCAGGGAGTTCACCCTCTGTCAAGAGAAAATACATCAAATACATACACAGTTTTTTTTTGCGCTTTATACGGAAGTATCTTTTTTTCACGTTAACTAAAAATTTTTAATTTTTCTCACAGCTTCAAGGGACTGACAATGAGGTTTTAATTTCAACTCTATACCTCCGCGCGTTCCCGAGATAAAGGGTCTTGACAGACAGACATACAGAAAACAAATTGATCCTATAAGGGGTCCGATTATTCTTTTTGAGGCACGGAATCCTAAAAAAATAGCTAAGATAGTATATACGCTTGCAACAGTAGCTTTGTCAGTTATAATAAAAAAATAAAAATTTTAAGTTTCACTTCTGTCGGCAATCCTGGAGTGCCACTGTTGTTTGTTTTTTTTTTTTCAATACCTTGGTGTACAAGAAGTTGCAGTTCATTTCTGGCGAGTCCAGCAGCGCTGCCAGCAGTACAGCCGTAGAGATCTGCGTCAAGGGTCGACACGTTGTGTATAACGAGGGTACCATTGAGCATTATAATAATCCTGGAAAATATGGAAAATTAATATCTCTCTAATGTGATGAGTAATTAACGAGGAATGGTCACCAATCTCTTTTTTACCTTGCTGTACTTGCGTTAACACTGCCTTCGACTGCCACTCCGTCTTCTGTTGAACAAACATGTTGACGTTTATATTTAAAATTATTTTCCATCTAGTCCAGGTTAAACACTAATGAAATCCTAATCTAAATTCATACTTAATAACTTTAAACGAAGGGATGCACACGTAAAAACTGTTTTAACATAAATAATAATGATTTCAAAGCTGATTCTGTTTTTTTTTATCTAAAAAGTTTATCTTAATAAGAGTTCGCTTATGTCTGCACTTGGAATTATAAAGTCCCACAGTCAAAAGTCGCCCCTGTCCTTCCTCAAGAATCAAAGTATCTCCACAAAAATTTCATTAAAATAGGTGTAGCCGTAAAAGCGTAACAGACAGAGTAACCTTTGCATGTATAACATTAATATGTTAGGAATTACAGTAATATTTTAATTATTTTTTTTAAAAGACGACTCTCGCATTAGGAAAATATCCTGTGTCGCGGGGGACTTTAACACCCAGACTTGGAAATAATTTGTGGATCACACAAAGTGTCGTCCCATGTGGGGTTTGAACCCACAACACTCGGCGTAGTAGGAAGCGGCGTGGCGACCGCTTAAACCACTACGCCATCCGTGCAGTCGAATTAAAAAAATAACAAGTACCTAAACCCATATTGTTATCTAAATGGCTAATTTTAATGTGAAGAAATAAAACCAAGTCATTACTAACGTTGTTTGGTCAATATAGCGCGATTGCGGTCCCAGTGCGTGGTTGGAGGCGGCTCGCCTGTCGCCACGCAGTTGAGCACCGCACTCTGACCCACCGTCACGTGGAGTTGTTGATTAGGCTCCGGTTTGACCACCCGAGGAGTCACTGAAAAGGCAATCAAATCTTTAGTTTTTTTTTTAAATACTGTTTCCGCATTAGGAATATAGCCTGTATCGCGGGGGACTTTACAAACATACATGAAACGGACACAAAGACCACCCAGACTCAGAACAACAATTTGTGAAGTGTTGTTCCATGCGGGGATCAAACCCACAACACTCAGCGCAGTACGCAGTTAAACCACTACGCCATCCGTACAGTGCAGCAGTTACATTGATTCATATTCAAGCTGTTATATAGGTGTAGATAGAAACAATAAAACTTTATTTTCTGAAGGTTCGGGAAGCATGAAAGGGCTTTGTTTAATTGTATAGTTACTATTAACAAGCTAATAATTGAAAAAACAAAAAACCCGACCGTGAAAATGTATAAATATTTGAATTTTTATAATTTTAATTACTTTTGATATGCCCAGTGTCACTCATAATTAAGACGAATTTAATGACACCTCCCAACCCAAAATCTTTCAATCCGATTGAACCACGGAGCCTGCCATAGGAATGTAACATATTATTATGTACATACCCACTACATCCAGAGTTATATTGGAGGTGATAGACTTTTCTCCATCTGTCGCCTTGCAAGTATACTGTCCGGAGTGTCTTCGTTGAGCGTCAGTTACCATCAGCGTGCCGTTTGAAGATGTCACCCCCTCAGGCAGAGGTTCCGTTTCGTTCTGCAAATAAATAGCGACATATAGTGGTGAATAGATACAACTTATAGCGACGACGATACTTGTAGCGACATGAAAAATATACTTTTTACATTTTAAAATCAATTATTTACGGTTGTCTGAAAATTAAGTTGCATCACTATTATCGCGTTTATCATTAACTACTTTTAATAAACAGATCAAACGTTTAAAGCTTTTAAAAAATCAGTATTTTTAACACTTTTTTTTTACCGAAGTTCTTGGTTTAGTCACGAACATCGGCTTACTATCTATAGATGATAGTAGCGAAAAACTACGTCCAATCCTAAATATCCTTTGTAACGGAACTTAAAATATGCAGTTCGTTTGAAACGTACCCGAAACCATAGCACCGTGGGAGCTACACCTCCAGCAACCTTGCAATGAATCTTGCCGGACGTATTCAACTCCAACTTCTTACTGTACGGTTCCGGTTCGAAGTGAAGCACGGCATCTGTTGACGAATAGTAAACACCTTAAATACAACGCCATCTGTACACTGTCACTGCAACATGATTGAGTGTATTAATTCCTGGGATAAGTTAACAGATGGCAGCAGCTGTATCAAACTTAGTTACCATTTGTAGTGGCCCGATGTCGTCTGGTAGTTTTATGATTCCTGACTTTGTGAGCCGAATGGTGTGATACATCTGAAAAAGAAAAATCATTTTAAGTAAAAGTCGAATGGTGTTTTACATCTGGAAAAAGAAAAAATATTTTAAGTAAATTTGTGTATTTTAAGAAAAAAATATTGCACTCATTTTCACTAACACTAGGCACTAAATTTACATACTTAATTTTTGTGAATAATTTAGTAGTAATAAAATCATAATTCGGTTAAGTTGTCCACTCACTTATACACTATCAACCTACCAATATTGGGCAAGGCAATAAGGCAAACTACCCTTACAATTATTGTTTTGTATTTTTAGTATTTCAGTTATTTCTTTAGAAATTTTTGTTTTATTATAAATTATTTCATAATAAATTGGTTGTACCTAATATTATACGCATTTCATAATAAAAAGTGGCAAACTTCTTTCATACCTAATATTCAATTCCAATAAGAGTCCAACAACGCAAACAACAAGAGAGTTAAAAAAACAAATACCGCACGTTTTAAATTCATTTCTTTAAAATTACACGTGTAATTTTCATTTCAAGTACAACATTATGATGATTGTAAAACAAGGGATATCATTTCTACATTACCAGATTCTTGGAACACCTCAACAGGGAAGTTATAGTTTGCGATGTATAGAGACATTGTATTTATAAATATATAAAACTCCATGAATAACTAGCTGTACCTTGCTATGCATCGCTATAGCACAATAAGTATGGTTGCGTTAATTAGAAGTGAGGAACAAAACTGACCCAAAAGATATATAAAACTATCTTTAAAGAGTATTGCATATCATGTCAAAATTTAAGCTCGAGTCTTTGAAGTTTACACAAATCAACAATTCAGTTTCGAAAGAGAATATTCTCTTTTCATTAGTGACGGAAAAGCATAACTCTGAACAAAATACCATCTTCTGGAGATTATTTAATTCTTTAAAAAAAAACAATATTCATAACACAGCTGATTTTTTTTCTACATTGTTTAGGCGGGATAGTCTCTAAACTAAAAGGCCGATTTAAATGATTCTATCTGTATTGTATAGAGTATTAATTGGGATATAAAATAGGCTATAAAAATCACGCTACGGCTATTAGCAGCGAAGCAGTGACTGCGGAAACTGCGGGCAACGAATAGGTATTGTTATTAGGTTTCTGCACTTCTACATATAAATATTAGGTCTTTACCAATGAAATTGCCGTTTTGTATGCAATAAGTGAAAGTACTTATTTCTTCAAACTTTTATATTTCTGTTATTCGAAGTAATCACCCTTGCAATCGACGCATCTTTGCCAACGCATTGGCAGTTTATTGATGCCCTTCTTGTAAAAATCAGCTGGACGGGAGGCAACAAACTCTTCAAAGGCATTTTGTACTGCCTCTCGGGAATTGAATTTTTTACCCACTAAAAAGTTGTCTAAATTTTGGAAAAAGTAATAGTCGGTAGGTGCAAGGTCTGGTGGTCACTATAATAACTACCTATAATAGTTTTAAAATGACTTAAATAAATTTACGGAGACTCGATCCCCCAGTCAAACCATCAACTCGGTTTTGGGGAACAAACAATTTAATGTCATGTTCAAAAAAAAAGTTGAACTAAATAAATAAAAAAAAAATACTGTCAGATACTTTACATCGCCTTTGGACTAATTACAGTAAAAAGGCTTTTAATGCTCTACGCATTCAGTACAATAAAAGTTTCAGAATGCTGATGGGGCTACCGAGGTCTGCAAAATATCGGGGAGGTATGAAACGCATCAGGAATGATTGCGGAGGATAAAGTTGATTGTTTTTACACAATCATACGTCAAAGAGTGGCCTCATTAATGCGCTACATACATTACGGGAAAGTCTAGACTGATCTATTATGAGAACAAAACAAGCACAAGTAACAGAAATGACATCGAATTCAAGAAAAAAATATGAATGTAATTACTTGGGTACAATTTTTAAAATATTAGGACATTACATTTAATAACTAACTTAGCAAATGAAATTACTGACACTAATGGATTTTACCATTTGATTAAATAACTTTTTGATTAATTAATATATAAATTAGACACTTATCTACGGCGGGAGATTAGGATGATTCCTTGTTTAAAAAAAAGTTATAAGGAGCGAAGGAGGGACCATAAATGCGGATAAAACTGTACACATCGGTAAAGAATTCTTATAATTCAAGAGAGATCAAAAACCAAAGCGGTCTATGGCTAAACGCATCCATACTTAGAACAGATGGGTTCACACTGCAGTGTTAAAAACATAAACATCACTTCAATACTGGGAACTTCAAACGTTTGTTATATTTGGAACATATATTAAATTCCTTTTTTTAAATATTTACATGGATTTATTGCTTTATATGTATATAAATCATTAAGTTTTTTTTTTGATTTTTATATACATTTAATTATCATTAAAAATGGAACTAATTCGTGTGGTGACGGATTAAGAATACAAAGTGTCACCACCCCAATTCATCCCGTGGGTGTCGTAAGAGGCGACTAAGGGAGCAAACTACGCAGAACAACAGCACTGCAAAGAGAAGGAAAACTTGAAACAAACCCTATACCAATATATAGTAGGCCAAAATAGGTCCAACAGTGGACTATTAAAGGCTGTTGATGATGATGATGATGATGATGGAACTAAATACATTGTGTTATTTAATTAAATTATGTAATATTAGCTTTTGCCCGTGGCTCAGCCCTCGGTTATCGCGGTAAAAAGTAGCCTATGTCTGTCTCAAGCACTAAACTATCACCATACCAAATTTCATCTAAATCGGTTCAGCGATTTAAGCGTGAAGAGGTAACAGACAGAGACACTTTTGCATTTATAATATTAGTATGGATGGGCTAGCTTGAATGGAGTGATACCAGCACCTCACAGAAAACCAGAGTTCAGCAATTGTTCCAATGCACTTAAAAAAGTCAGTGAATACTGGAGGATGTCGCTGACATGAATTACACGAGGAAATGGCATTAGGTGGGTGGAGTGATCGACACCTCCATCCACCTAATTCGACTGCTTTGGTGGTGCAGTGGTAGCATATGTCACTGCTGTTTGCGGTCTCGGGTTCGATTATCGGGTCGGAACAAATGTTTATATGATATGCAAATATTTGTTTCAGAGTTTGGGTGTGCTATGTATAATATGTATGTATTTAAAGAAAAAAGTAGATAAGTATCAGTCAATTTAGCTTTCATAGTACAAGCTCTGCTTAGTTTGAAACTAGATGGCGTCGAGTGTCAGATGTCCGAAATATTATTTAAAAAAAAAAACATTCAGGAGGAGGGATAGGGGTTGGCAGAGAGGGCACTCAAAGGTGGGCAACACACTCGTGACTCTTAAGTTGCAAGCGTCCATGGGCTGCGATAGTCGTTTAGCATCAGCTCTCATCTGCTCGTTGACCCCTACACCATAAAAAAACTACCACAAAAAACATTTCTACCGAACCATAGTACTAAATAACATTTGTAACCATGATTTCCAACAAATAAAACAATATGGCCAGAGAACGCGTTGCACACCATACTTAGAACAAACGTTTCACACTTGGCCGACGCCGCGTAAACAAACATACCGCGGGACATCAAAAGACCTGCGCGTACGCTTTTACATGTGTAGGGTGTACACGATACTAGCACAATATTGGGATATTCCTAAAATGTACATTTTAGCCCGATATACCGTCGACTTGAGGAAAGTGGCTGGCACCGGATGGAAGCGAATTGCCCAAGAACTTGATGGTTGGCGCTACTTGGAGGCCTTCGTTCAGCATTGGATGGCGATAGATGATGATGATTATTTTGATAAATTCTGGAAGACATAACATTTGGTTCTTGTTATTTATATTGTCTCTTCCACTTTCTTGTTCATGAATAATGACGTTCACGGCAGTGAGTTTTTAATACTTTTTCGTTTCTCTACCCGTAAAATCGGTAAAATGTGTATCTAGCAGAAAAAGGAAAAGAAGAATTGGTGATATAACTCGTTATATGTTTTTTATAACACTTGAAACATTTCAATTAAAAAAAAGTAATGTTTTAAGTATGTGAAGTAGCATATTTCGTACCTAAATAATTATTTCTATATTTTGGTTTCCATACATCATCACTATCTTGACTTTTTCTCAAAATATTTGGGATCTGAGTAATGAGTATTTTTTTCTATGCGTTATCAGTTCACTGTTTTTTCTAACCATATCCCCTTTTACGCAGTCCATCCATATTTTCGTCAATCATACGTATCACTTTCTTTTCACTACATTTCGCTCATCCCGTTCAACAAACTTGTTCCTTAAAATCAATACTGTCCGTTCTTATTTGAACGTGTAGCCACACTTCACAATCTAAATATACAACGTGTCCGAAGGAGCAACTGTTGCGCGTCACTCGGCATTGAACCCGGGACTACGGGTTCAACCGATCAATTATCACTTTACCATTATTGCTCTATCGATGCACTAATATAGGAGCAAAACGGTAGAATTTCATTAACACAGGAAATAGAAAGTATGTATTTATATCCCTTTTTCCATCATATGTTTAACTATGGCGTAGTGGGTCCGATCCCCACATGGGACGACACTTTGTGTGATTCACAAATTGTTGTTCTGAGTCTAGGTGTTCTTTGTGTCCGTTTCATGTATGTTTGTAAAGTCCCCCGCGACACAGGATATTTTCAAAAAAAAAAGAAAAGGAAGGAAGAAGGAAAAAAAAAGAACTGTTAAACAGGCTCAAATATTACTGGCTGTTACTAGCTGTACAATGCCAAGTTTCGCTGTGAACATTGTGGTTGCATTGAGGAGTAATGAAGAATAAAACTGCGGCTAAAAAGGCAGAGCCTGTACTATGGTAACCAGACTGCAGATAACTTAGAAGAAAAATGTATTTAAAGCCGGAAAGTTAATGTTAAGTTCTATGAGTAAACTCAAATAAATACACTCGAAGAACAAGAATCTAACCTAAAATTATGAAAAATAATCATAGAGATAGAATCATAGAGAAGAGGAGTAAAAGC